CTGCACAGTCCCAGCACCAGAGGCCAGCAGCGGGCGTCGGGTCACACCCAGATATGTGCGGTAAGAGCAGCTCCAGGCCAATGTGCTTTGAAGTAGGAGCCTGAGGAACAATTGGTAGGATCGCAGGACTAAGGGAGCCCTGGTAACAATTGTTCCCCAGACCTGGGTCTTCTTGGACCAAGAAACTCAATCAACCGAAAGCTTTGGTTTGTGGGTACAGTTGGGGATGGTCCGTTGGGCTTTTCCCAACTCGTGCAGGGTGTAGTGCGCAGAATGCCACGGGGCAGTTACCCCGAAGTTGTCCTCACTGAACTCTGGGCAGCATTCTGAGGTTCTTTTTCATCTCTGTGTTCTTTCTCAAGTAAGCGGGTGTTTGCACTTTCTGAGTGCACATAGCTAACAGTGCATGCGGGAGGTAGCCTGGGCTGGGCCCGGGCCGGGGGGTGGGCTTAGGATTGGGACGTGGTCCCCTAGGGCTTCCTGCTCCTGCACCCACCCAGAGCAGGGGAGGGAGCACAGTGCTGCCTTGTTGGGCTGATCGCCTCAGGCGGAAGTGCGAGAAGCTGAGGTTGGTCTTAAGGATGGCAGTGGCGACCTCTGCCCTTCGCATGCTCTTACACGCCAGCGCGTGCTAAGTGTGTCGCCTACATGAACACTCACACGGCCTGTGGTGATCGTACTGTTCGTGAGCCCCCATTGGGACCAGGAAAGCTGCGTTCAGAGCAGTTAAGTGCCAGGTATGCAGCTAGCCCATGTGGCATTTTGCGTGAAGTAGGAAAGGGCCACTTCCCTCTCTTGGAAAATTGTCATATTTGCTTTTGTTAGAACAAGACCCTTTACTGCAATGTGCTGCAACACTGCCACTTAAAGACACAAGTGGACAAAGCATGCCATGCACTTGGCCCCTTAGACATGTGCCCCGAGTTCTGTGTAATCTGTTCTGTCCTGGTCTCCACAGGTGAACACATTGGAGTCTTTTGGCTGTTTCTTCTGATATTTGCCTCCATATTTCTTCATTGTCAGTTTCTGTGCATGATCTATTAACTTCCTATTAGGATAAATGAAGATCTGGCTGTCTCACCCCTCCCTTCTCCCTCCCCCATGATCACAATAGATGTGTCTCTGTTTTTACTTAATAAAGGGTTTACCTTAGGCCGGGCGTGGTGGCTCACGCTTGTAATCCTAACATTCTGGGAGGCCGAGGCGGGCAGATTGCTCGAGGTCAGGAGTTCAAAACCAGCCTGAGCAAGAGCGAGACCCCATCTCTACTATAAGTAGAAAGAAATTAATTGGCCAACTAATATATATATATAGAAAAAATTAGCCGGGCATGGTGGTGCATGCCTGTAGTCACAGCTACTCGGGAGGCTGAGGCAGAAGGATTGCTTGAGTCCAGGAGTTGGAGGTTGCTGTGAGCTAGGCTGACACCACAGCACCCACTCTAGCCTGGGCAACAAAGCGAGACTCTGTCTCAAAAAAAAAAGGGGGGGGTTTACTTTATTATGGCTGCAAATATTAGTTATTGCTAAATCAATTATTGAACTTTAAAAACATTAATTATTGTACTTTAATCTCATTCTTTCTAAGACGTCTGATTTCTTGGCATCTTTAATTTCTTTTTCCTTACCTGCCATCATCACGCTGATGGCTAATATTTGAGCACTTCCTATGTGTCAAGCACTGTTCTAGATGCCTTCCACATGTTCTCACGGAACCCCTGAGCACTCTTTGAAGTGTGTGTGTTGGTAGTATTATTGTGGTACAGGAAGCCAGGAAGCGCAGGCTCAGGTTAAGTAAACACTGTCCCATGATTCTGACTGATTGCTGGCAAACACAGGAGTTAAATCCAGTCTGACTCCTTGCTCAGGCCCACACTCTTAACATTTAGCTACAGATCTTTAATCTTATTATAGTGTATACTGCTTTTTTCCTCCTTGAAGTCATTCCTTTGGGGACTCTCCATTCTCCTGCTTCAGCTTTGGACCTAGGTTGAAGCTTTTGTTTCCTAGAGCTCTTCTTCTTCTTTCTCTTTTAACTTGTTTATTCTTTCATTTTGCAGGAGTATATCCTCAAAGCAACTTCCTTAGAAAGCATGCATAAACATTTTTGCATTTTTGCAAATCATAAAAGTCTTTATCTTGTCCTCTGACTATGGTGCAATGTCTTCAGAATTCTGAGGGAAAATGCTTTCCAGTCTGAAATTCTACACTCAGCCTATCTTCCAGCATCCAGCTGTTTGTAGATTAAGAAATCTGATGTCATTTTTGGTTCCAGTTCTTTGGTATGTGTCTTAGTCTGTTTTCTGTTGCTTATAACAGAATGTCCGATATTGGGTAATTTAAAGAAAAGGAATTTATTTCTTACAGTTATGGAGGCGGAGAAGTCCAGGGTTAAGGGGAACATCTGGCAAGCTCCTTCTTGCTGGTGGGGCCTCTTTGCAGAGTTCTGGAGCAGCACAAGGCATCATGTGGTGCTGAGACTAAGTGTGCTTGCTCAGCTCACTCTTCTTGTAAGGTCACCCATCCTACTTCCATGATAACCCACTAATCCATGAATATACTGATCCGTGCATGAGGCAGAGCCCTCCAGATCCAATCACTTCTTAAAAGCCCCACCTCTCAGTACTGCCACACTGGGATCAAATTTTTTTTTTTTTTTTTTTTGAGACAGAGTCTTGCTTGTTGCCCAGGCTAGAGTGAGTGCCGTGGCGTCAGCCTCGCTCACAGCAACCTCAAACTCCTGGGCTCAAGCAATCCTTCTGCCTCAGCCTCCCGAGTAGCTGGACTACAGGAATGCGCCACCAATGCCCGGCTAATTTTTCTATATAATTAGTTGGCCATTAATTTCTTTCTATTTAGTAAGAGAGGGGTCTTGCTCTTGCTCAGGCTGGTTTCGAACTCCTGACCTCGAGCAATCCGCCCACCTCGGCCTCCCAGAGAGCTAGGATTACAGGCGTGAGCCACTGCACCCGGCTTGGGATCAAATTTCAACATGAGTTTTGAAGGAGACACATATTCAAACCATAGTAGTATGTGACTTTTTTTTTCTTTTAAATTTCAGGGAGCTTTTATAATCTCTTTATGCCTGTATTCTAAAATTTCATGACTGTAGTATTTCTTTGATAAATTCCTTCCCTCTTTCTCCCGTTTCTCCTCCTGAAACTTTAATTAATTAGATGTGAGACCAGCTGGACCCATTGCCTGACATCTTTTCTCTTCTTTTGTATATGTCTTCATCTTTTAGTTCTATTTTCTGGGACATTATCTTAGTTTTATTTTCTACCTTATATCAAACTTTTAAATTTTAGCATGTATATTTTTAATTTCCAAGACCTCTATTTTTTTTTTTTATTCTATGGTCTTTGTCCATAACATCCTCTTTTTTTTTTGAGACAGAGTCTCACTTTGTTGCCCAGCTAGAGTGAGTGCCTGTGCGTCAGCCTAGCTCACAGCAACCTCACATCCTGGGCTCAAGCATCCTCCTGCCTCAGCTCCGAGTAGCTGGGACTACAGGCATGCGCCACCATGCCCAGCTGATTTTTTCTATATATATTAGTTGGCCAATTAATTTCTATTTATAGTAGAGACGGGGTCTCGCTCTTGCTCAGGCGGTTTTTGAACTCCTGACCTTGAGCATCCACCCGCCTCGCCTCCCAGAGTGCTAGGATTATAGGCGTGAGCCACCGTGCCCGGCCTCTAATTAACTTTTGATATAAATATGTGTCTGGGGCATTTGCTTCCCTTGGGTTCATCTGGTTTTAATAACTTTCCAGGTTTTAATAACCAGACTTGCCTGGGTGCTGGTTGCTCCAGCGATCTCCATAGCAGCAGAAACAACCAAGTCGCTTCCAGAAGCTGGGCTCTGTGTAGGCCCGGGGGAACTTCACTCCACAAACATCATCGGCACCATCTGGGAGACAGGCTTTGGGCTGGGTGTTAGACTTCCAGAGATTTCTCCAGGTGGCCCTTTCCCAAGGGTTGATCCAGAGAATCCTGGTTCCCCAGAGAACTGTGAAGTGTGGGAAGCGATGTCAGATGCCGTTTCTTTTCTATGGCAGAGGAGGTCGCACTGAGGTGCACAGTGAATGTCCAGGAGGGGCTGGGGCACGGTGTTACTACCCAAATTTCTTTTTCTAAGGAGGCTGTGTTTATATTTGTGCATTTGCTTGAAGTCACAGGAACGTCACAGACCAGTACTCTTTTGAGCATGCTCCGGCCCTTCTGCCGACAACGCCCCGGCTGTGCTCCCCAAGATGGGTTTGGATTTCTATGCAGGCCACTCGGGGGCACAGAGAGATAGGCAGAAGGGACTGTGCTCAAACTGCATTTGCACAGCAAGTGCCTTGTATTGATAATTAGCTCTGGCTTAAATAGCAAAACCACCTACTGGTGCTTTCATATGTCAGATTTCCTGGTCCGTTTATCATAATTGCTTTTATTCAGAAGGGGGAAGCTTAGAGGGACACTGAAGCCCCCTCCTCGGCGCCAGTGCTGACCGTGACTGCACCATCCTCGGGAGGCTGTGAGCTGGGCGGCCATGGGCGGATTGCCCTTTCTGGGCCTCGCTTCCTCCTGTTGAGGGGCTGGATGAAAATTGTGTACAACAGACAGCTCCGCGACATCCTGGGGGCTCTGAGCTGCCCCTGTGTGCCCCACCTTGGTGACAACCTGGGCATCTCTGCTTGTGTCTGGTTTATTTCTTGATGCGTCTGTAAAAATTTTCATTAGAATTTAGGGTTTCTGAGGCTAAAATGTTTGGAAATCACAGGAAACACAGGCCCTGTTGCTCTTGAGGGACCTGCTGAATCTGTTTCAGCTTAGAAATTGGGTGTCCGATGTCGGCATAGTCATGAGTGGGGGCAGGGGTCTCTGGTGAATGTCCCCCAGAGGGCTCTGCAAGGAACACGACCCTTGGGATGGCATTTGGCGAGCAGCCTAGGCTATTGTCCCTTGGTTCTATTTTAGGTACAGGACTGGTGGCCGAGGGCCCTGTGCGGGGGGCACCTGCAGATTAGCCCACGGGCAGTCTGAACACATGTTTTTGGAATCAGCAAAGTAGGAGCACCCACAATTTGTTTGTAATTTACAGAAGCATGAAAAGTTTCATCATAGCAAAAATCAGCACTTTGTCGCATGGTCTCGTGTTGCCTTCTGTTCTGGTCTGGCTTTTTACTGTAAATTCGGTGTGTGTGGCCTCAGTGCTTCGGCCCCTGACGCCCTGCTCCGTCCTGCAGAGCCCAGCTCCGTAAGTGTCTGTACCTAAAAGCCCCTTTCTCCCTAACCTTCGGCTTCAGCTCACGAGTCCTGCCTAGCCTGGGCAGATTCTTGAAATGTTTGCCCGTCAGCAGCCTCTCAGAGAGGAACGTCAAATGCTGCTGTGATGTCAAAGCAGCCCCAAGGAGAAGGGCCTGGGCCAAACGCAGTTTGTCACTTGTGGCTGTGGCAGAGCGGGAGATAAGCCAAGCACAGGCCAGAGAACCCGGCCCTCCGCGCCCGGACACCTGCGGGCTGCGGGTCGGTGCCGCCGGGTAGGGACGGGTCGGCTACCCAGGACGATGAGCTTCCAGGCACTGTCACCTCAGTGAAGACCAGAGGTGTGCAGCTCTTCCGTTTCTTCCCTTCGCCTGTGTCAAGCCTGCACCAGGATGTCAGGAGCCTCCAAGGAGGGTCGGGGACCCCGGGGGCTGCCAGTGTCCGGCAAGGCCTGCTTGACCGCCATGGACAAGAAGCTCAACGTGCTCAACGAGAAGGTGGACAAACTCTTGCATTTCCAAGAAGACATCACAGAGAAACTTCAGTGCGTGTGCCGAGGCATGGGCCACCTGGAGCAAGGCCTGCACCGGCTGGAGGCCTCCCGGGCTCTGGGCCCGGCGGGGGCCGACGGTGCCCCTCCGGCTGACGCTCAGGCCGGGTGGCCGGAGGTCCTGGAGCTGGTGAGGGCCACGCAGCAGGATGCCGCCCAGCACGGTGCCAGGCTCGAAGCCCTCTTCAGGATGGTGGCGGCTGTGGACAGTGCCATCGCTTTGGTGGGGGCCACGTTCCAGAACTCGACGGTGGTGGATTTCATCATGCAACGGAGTGTCCCCTGCAGGAAAGGCAGCCTGGCCAGTGGCCCCGAGGAGGTTGGTTTCTGCTTCCCTGTCCTGGCTGAAGAGGAGGCCCAGGGCCCTGGTGGGGAGGCTGGCCAGGCAGCTAGTCTCGGGAGAGCTGGAAGGATGCTGTCCCCTTCTCCTGCTTCCGGTGTGACCTGTGGTGGGAAAAAGGAGAGCGTGGACCTTACAGGTCATAGAGGGTTCCAGGCAGGACACTGCCTGCCACTCCCGGCGGGAGGAAAGGAAAGGTAGTGCTCTGGCCAGGACTGCGGGCCTGGGCAGCTCTAAGGAACCCAGAAGTGGGGCGCACATTGCAATTTGGGAGAAGAGGTTTGATATCCCCATGGCTTCTCTTCCTCTCGGGGCTCCTCTCTGCTCCTTCACACCTGCAGTGGGGACAGGTGGAGAGAGGTCAGTTTGACCTGATGGAGCCCCTACTCAGAAACCCAACCCGTACTTCCTGTCCCCAGCCTTGTGCTTTTTGTCCCAGAGTGGGTGGAGTGTGCAGCTGCCTTGGGGAGGTGAATGCTGACAGTGACCCATGGGGGACAACAGGCAGGAGCCAGAGCCTGAGGGTGGAGGGTGGCATTCCTGGCAGCCGCTGTTCCCAAGGGTTGCATAATCAAACTTGCTGGCTGATGGAAACTTGGCTGCTGGGAGAAGGCTGGGGGCGACATGTGTAGAGGGAACACCCTGTTTGGGAGCAGCTAAGGGTCAGCCACTTAGCAGCACTCAGACCAGATGGAGCCATCATTTCCGATCCGCAGTTATCCGCCAGCCCTGGCAAGAGAGGAGCTGGGGTCTAAAGGGGGTCTGGACTTGGCCCTGTGTGGGCTACTGAGGCTGAGGCGGGAAAGCAGGGCTGTGCCTTCCCTCCCTGCAGCCCCAGGCCAGAGCCCACCCCCCCACCCCCGCCTTGCAGCTTCTCCCAGAGCAGCCTCCACCCGGGCTCCCCGCTGTCTGTGCAGCCCCTGAGAGTTTGGCCTACAGGGAAGATGTGGCCCACTGCTCTTGCTCCTGGTAACCAACCTCAGCTTTAAAGAAGAAAATTAATCTAATACAGTCGACACTCCATTTCTGCACATTCCGCATCCTTGCATTCTACCGACAGTGAGAGGAAAATGTAATTAGGCCTACGACGGCTGTGTCTGTGCTGAGCACGTACAGACTCCTCTTTCTTGTCACTATTCCCTAAACAATACAGTGTAACAGCTATTTACATAGCGTTTACATGGTATCAGGTCTTATAAGTGACCTAGAGAAGAGCTGAAGTGTTTGGGAGGATGGGTATATAGGTTATATGCTAATACTCTGCCATTTATTTCAGGGGTTTGAGAATTTGCAGGTTTTGGTATATGCAGGGGGGCCCTGGAACCAATCCCCCATGGATACCAAGGCATGAATATAATCTGATAAAAATGAATCTAATCAACAGCATTAAACAAGGAAATTTATTTAATGTGCACATGGTAAAAAAAATTATGTCATATAAAGAGCATACATCTCCTCCTATGCCATCCTCTAGTCCCCAAACAACAGCCCGACCCCGCAGGCAGTCTAGGTGCTGGCTCCCCCTGGATCCGTACAGCCAGCGCTGTGTGTCGACACGTGGTCGCTGTGCACACCACCTCTCTGTTCCGCTTTAACTTAAATATTATTCATATGTTCTGGCTTGATTTTTTTAAATGTATTTTTGGCATTGTTTCATATTTGTACCTAGAAAGCTCATTTTTGCTTCTTTTTTTTTTTTGGTTTTGACTGAAGATATTTTCTTTTTTTTGTTTTTTGGGTTTTTTCCCTCCTTTTATTTCATCATATTATGGGGGTACAAATATTGTTAGGGTTACATGTATTGCCCCTGCCTCCCCTCCACCTCCGCCTGACATGCCAGAGCTTCAAGAGTGTCCAAACCCCAGGTGGTGTGCACCATACCCCTTATATAAGTACACCCCCTTCCCCTCCTCCTCCCCACTCCCACCTGCCCACCGTCAGATAAAAGTGTTCTTTTTGACATTTTAGTCACATTGTATATCTTTGCCTCTCCCTAAGAAGGGTTAGAGGCATTCCCTTACGCCACATCCCTAAGATGTGGGGCTCCCTCTCCCCGAATCCCTGGTGAGCACCACCACCATTTGAGCAAGTGTTAATCGGTCAGTACCAATTTGATGGCGCGTATATATGGAGCCCATTTTCCAGATCTTGTGTCGCCTCACTTTGGATAATGGGCTTAAGCTTAATCCAGGATAGCATAAATGGTGCTAGCTCACTGTCGTTTCTTAGAATTGAATAATATTCCATTGTGTTGTGGAATGCTTCATTTGGGGGCATGGGTTGTAATTTTTTAACCAGTCCTGTATCCTTGTTTGTTTGTATTGTTTCTGATTTTTAGTGGTTCTGAATAATGATGCAGTGACCATCTGTGTATGTTTGTGCATGTCTTTGAACATGAGTGTGAGTTTACCTGCATGACATGCCCCTGGCATTGGAAATGCTAAGCCAATGGGTAGTTTGTATAGATAAAGCCAAACCAACCTTCAAAGAAGTTATTCCAGTTTAGTCTCCTACCAATAACGTCTGAGAATGCTTTTGCATTTGCCTGTCCAGTGAATGAAAAATCAGATCTATTGTGCATGTGTTTTCTTAATATTTTAATATGAAAGGTTTTACACATTTCTAAAAATAAAGATTAAGATAATGGACCCTGTGATCCCATTTCCCAGTTTCACCCATCAACTGGAGGCCAAGGCCGTTTCGTGTATTCTTCACTCACTTCCAGGTTATTCTGAAGGAAATCTGAGACATGGGATCATTTCTTCCATAAATGCTTCAGCATTTACATCTAAAAGATAAGGGCTCTTTTTAAAAACATAGTCATGATATCGTTATCATACCTAAATAGAGAATGATAACTTCTTTTTTTTTTTTTTTTTTTTCGGCATATTATGGGGGTACAGATTTTAAGGTTTCAATAAATGCCCTTTCCTCCCCTCCCCCCACAAGTCTGAGTCTCCAGCATGACCATCCCCCAGATGGTGCACATCTCACTCATTATGTATGTATATACCCGCCCCCTCCCCCCCGAGAATAACTTCTTAGTATTGCCAAAGTCAGTTCAAATTTCCCTAATCATCTTATACTTTAAAAAATTTCTATAGTTTATTTGAATCAGATCCAAATAAGGCAATTAGTTATATGTCTCTTAAAGCTAACTCTTCTTTTGAATTCATAAAAAAATTAAAACTATTTATTATGGAAAATTTCCAAGTATAACCAGAAGTAGATAGAATGATATATCTTGCAGCTTTCATTTATATTCCTTTCACTAGAAGACTGAACATCATTCATAGGTTTAAAACCTTCTGTAGGCTGGGTGCAGTATCTCATGCCTGTAATCCTAGCTCTCTGGGAGCGAGAGGAGGTACTCAGGTCAGGAGTTAATGCGCGTGAGCAGAGGACCTGTCTTTACTTAAATACAAAGACTTAATTGGCCACTAACAGCCTATTAGAAAAACAATAGGCGGGCTGTGTGCATGCCTGTGTCAGTCCAGCGCTACTCCCTGGTGAGGCAGGGGTTCACTTGACCAGAGTTTGAGGTTGTGTGAGCTAGCTGATGCCCGCCACTCGTAAGCAGGCAGAGAGTGAAATCTGTCAAAAAAAAAAACCTTTTGTATTTTCTGTGAATGCGGTGCACTGACCTTTTCTTCTTTCTATTCTGTTCTTTCTTTTGATTGTGGGCGGGTAAGTGCTTCTTTTTTTTTTTATTTCTTTTGAGCAGAGTTCGCTGTTGTTGCCACGGCGTAGGTGAGTTGCCGTGGTCGGCGCTCAAGGCAGAGCTGACTCGCTGGGCTAAGCGTCCTGCTCAGCTCGTCGGGTAGCTGGACTACAGATGTGCCACCTGCGTGGTGTTGCGCTTCTTTTAGTTGGCAAATGAATTCTTTTATTTATGTAGAGACGAGGTCTTGCTTTGCTTGGCTGGTTTTGAATTCTGACTGTTGAGCATGCCGCCCGCTCGCTCTCCGCAGTGTAAGATTAAAGGCGTGAGCCACTGTGCCCGGGCAGTGCTTCATTATTAATGAAGTTAGCTATTGTACCTGTGGCAAATATTTAGGCATTTCTGGGGGTAGTGGTCTTAGAACTTTCTCTTTTCTGAGTTCTTGCAAAATTTGTTGTCTGTGCTGCTTACTGGCACTCGATTGACCTCTCTTCTGGTCCTTGTGTTTAATACACATATCAGTAGTTACCTTCAAGTTTGGGTCCCATCTCTCCACCTGGCTGTCAGCTGCTTGTTGGCCCAAGACAGGAAGCCTCTACTTCCCTCCATGTCCCAAGGCCGGGGCTGATCTTGCAGGATCAGCTTGAGAATGGATGGCAGACTGAGACATGCCACAGCTATGTGATGCATCATCAGTGCTGAGAACTATGCTTTATGGAGACTCTCTTAGGACCTTCTTTGTGTTTCCTACAGAATGGGGGCATAGCAGTCATAAGAGAAATTGAATTAAATCCTAGCACTGGCCGTTACATTTGGAAATTGTGCCAGGACTTCATGAAAGTCCTATTTGGATCTTCTGAAGTGGCCAGTGGCACTTTATCTGCTTGCAACAGTGAATTAGATAATTAGAAGCCTGGTGCTCTCTGCTGGAAGACTGAACCTATCCAGCTCAGAGCGGGCTGGAATCACAGTCAGGCTGTTCAGATGCATCAGTCCTCAAGAATGGTGTCTGAGGTCTCCTTTGCTTCTTCTGGATGCGTAGACAAGGCAGAGACCAGAAGCTTGAGCCCTGAAGACCAGCCAGCTGCATGTCGTGTGTGCATGTGTGCCTGTGTGCCTGCCTGTGCTAAGGTCAGAGGGGAGGAGCGGACAGCTTGAGTCCAACAAGGTCTGCTGAAGGACAGTCTGCACAAGTCCCTTTCTACCCGTGGGGTGAAACAGGAGGAGGTCCGCGAGAATGCCTCCAGTTGCCCCAGCTCCGGGGGTGGCAGGACAGAGCCTGCAGAAGAAGGGTAAGGGAGAGCTGTCTGCCGAGCAGGGGATCTGGGCCACATTGATGACGCTGGTGATAATTGTGATAACAGCAGCTCGAAGTTTTTATTAAGTGCCTACCACGTGCCAGTGCTGAGCTGTGTGTTCTCAGTGTGCAGTGTCCGTGCCATTAAGAGGGCAAAGCCTGGTGTCCGGAATCCCAAAGGGATGAGTAGGTGATAAGATTGAGGAAAGCAGGCACAGTGTGGGAAAGACGATGGGACCAACCCTCAGCTAGAGAGGCATTTGGGAGAGGTGAGGACGACAGTGCCCCAGTTAAAGGGACAGTCCTAGCCAATTTTTGCCACTTGGGCCTAGAGTTGCCAGATCTTTACATTTTTTTAAGACAAGCTGGGAACCTAGAGTTGTTTTCTAATTGGTTTTATTAAGGTGTATTAATTAAATAATAATTATTTTATTAAGGTATAATTTACATATAATAAAATGCATACAAACACACAAACTATGCACATTTTTTTTTTTGAGACACTCTGTTGCCCAGGCTAGAATGCAGCATCGTCATCACAGCTTACAGCAGCCTCCAACTCCCAGCCTCAAGTGATCCTCCCACCTTGGCTTCCCAAAGCCCCAGGGTTATAGGCATGAGCCACCATGTCCATCCAATGTACATTTATTTTTTTTTATTTTTTATTTTTTTTAAGACAGAGTCTCGCTTTGTTGCCTAGGCTAGAGTGAGTGCCGTGGCATCAGCCTAGCTCACAGCAACCTCAAACTCCTGGGCTCAAGCGATCCTTCTGTCTCAGCCTCCCAAGTAGCTGGGCCTACAGGCATGCGCCACCATGCCCGGCTAATTTTTTCTATATATATATTAGTTGGCCAATTAGTTTCTTTCTATTTATAGTAGAGACGGGGTCTCGCTCTTGCTCAGGCTGGTTTCGAACTCCCGACCTCGAGCAATCCACCCGCCTCGGCCTCCCAGAGAGCTAGGATTATAGGCGTGAGCCACCACGCCCGGCCCAATGTACATTTTAAATATATAGTTCCAATATATACTATATATTTAAATATATAGTATACACCCATGTAACCACCACCAAAATCAAAATATAGAACAATTCTACCACCCCAAAAAGGACCCTAGAAGTTTAATGTAAAAATTTCCTAGATTTTAAATGTTGAAAACAAATTAAAATTTTTAAAATGCTATGCCTGCCAAAAAAAATGTAGATGCTTTTGTTCTCTGCGTTCCCAGTTAAGGGCCTCTGCGGCCAAGGCAGGAGAAGGAGCTTTATTGGTGAGGACCTTGTACCTGGGGCCCCAGCCCAGCCCTGGGATGTAACGAGAGCTGCTGCTGTGACCTGTGTCAGGAGTTGTCTTAGGGACTTTACCAGTCAAGGGCTCAAAAGACCCAGCAGCACCATGGGGACCCACAAAGAGGCCAGGCTGTCTAGAAAAATGTGCTTGATAGCTTAGTGCTGGGCCATGCTGAGCATGTTCGCACGCTTCAGACTGTGTGAGGGGTGAAAGCTGTGCTCGCCAGGCCTGATCTGGTGTGGGCCGTTCAGATTAGGAAAAGCTGCCAGAGCTTCTCTGGGCCAGGCACGGGGCATCCTACTATGGGCTCATCTAGCACTGAAAGCTCTTGAGCTCAGGCAGGACAAAATCTGTGTGCTGGGCTTACTTGTTAGGACACTCCACAAATTAACCTCCCAAATCCTCCCACGAACTTTGCAAGGCAGATGTTATTAACCCAATTCGTAGACGGAAAAGTGAAGTGCACAGAAGTTAAGGATCTTGGCCAAGTGGTAAAGGAGAGGTTCAAACCCAGCAAGTCTTGCTCAGGAGCCTGTGCTCTGGCCTCGGCTAGACCACACGGGGCGGCTGCGAGACCTGCCCGCCCAGCTCCACGCGCATCCCTGACCCCGGCACTCTTCTCCTGAGCCTGGATTTTATTATTCGGCTCCAGAACCAGTAACCGCGACCAGTTGACCTGCCTTGACATTTGAAGATTAGGTTTATTTTCCATCCCTGGTAGAGGTCCAGCTCGTTTAGGCCCCGCAGCAGGGCTGGGCCCCCTTCACCAGCTACGCGGGGAGGCAGGGCTGGGCCCCTTCACCAGCTACGCGGGGAGCAGGCTGGCCACCCTTCACCGCTACGCGGGACGCAGGGCTGGCCTTCACCAGCTACGCGGGGGCAGGGCACTAGCCCGGAGAGCGGCCTTACCGCTGGGCCCACCTTCACCAGCTACGCGGGGAGCAGGGCTGGCCCACCCTTCACCAGCTACGCGGGAGGCAGGCTGGCCCCCTTACCAGCTACGCGGGGAGGCAGGCGGCCCCTTCACCAGCTAGGCGGGAGCAGGGGCCCCTTCACCAGCTACGCGGGGAGGCAGGGCTGGGCCCTTCACCAGCTACGCGGGGAGGCAGGGCTGGGCCCCTTCACCAGCTACGCGGGGAGGCAGTGGCAAGGACACGCGTTCGGGTTTGGAACTGGGCTCCTCCGCTTTTAAGGTTTATGACCTGGAGAGGGCCTCAGTGTCCTTATCTTTTTCTTTTTTTTTTTGAGCGGAGTCTTACTGTTGCCGAGCCAGGAGTGCCATGGTGCAGCTAGCTCACAGCCAACCTCAGAGTCCTGGGCTCAGGCGATTCCCTGCCTCAGCCTCCCAAGTAGCTGGACTACAGGCATGCGCCACCATGCCTGGCTTAATTTTTCTATATATTTTTAGTTGTCTAATTAATATCTTTCTGTTTTTTAGTAGAGACAGGGTCTCGCTCTTGCTTGGGCTCAGGCTGGTTTCGAACTCCCGACCTTGAGCAATCCGTCCTCCTCAGCCTCCCAAGAGTGCTAGGATTACAGGCGTCAGCCATCACGCCCGGCCAGTGTCCTTATCTTTAAGATGCTAATAGCAATGTCTACCCTCTGAGTCACTGTGAGACCCTGTGCACGACCTAAGCCCCTTTATCTTCAGCACATGGTAGGTGCTCAGCAAATGTTTGTGGCCTGGATCATGATGATGCTAGTTTTTATGGTTGTTATTTTAGGAACAAGGAGCGACGTGGGAGAAGAGAAGAGGAGCAAAACAAAGGTGAGCACCGGAGTGTGTCAAGTTGAGCCGGGGGGACCGTGGAAGGGAGCGGGAACCATTTTTCTATTCCCACACTGCATGCACAACAGCTTCAGAACAAAATACAGCATACCATCCGAATATGATTACTGAAAAACTGTTTAAGCTGCTTTTTAATTTTTTTTTTTTTTGAGACAGAGTCTCGCTTTGTTGTCCAGGCTAGAGTGAGTCCCATGGCGTCAGCCTCGTCACAGCAACCTCAAACTCTGGCTCAAGCAATCCTCCTGCCGTCAGTCCCGAGTAGCTGGACTACAGGCATGCGCACATGCCGGCTAATTCGAGTGGTATATATTATAGTTGGCCCAATTAAGTTCTTTCTATTATAGTAGAGACAGGGTCTCGCTCAGGCTGGTTTTGAACTCCTGACCTTGAGCAATCCGCCCGCCTCGATGCTTTTTAATTTTATTTTTTTTAGTGACAGGGTCTCTCTCTGTCACCCAGGCTGGAGTGCAGTGGCACAATCACAGTTTGTTGCAGCCTCAAATTCCTAGGCTTAAGTCATCCTCCTTCCAGCTTTCAGACTGGCTGGGACTACAAGGGTGCACCACCATGCCTGGCTAATTTTTTCTAGTTTTTGTAGAGATAGATTTTCCCTATGTTACCCTGACTGGTCTCTAACTCCTGGCCTCAAGTGATCCTCCTGCCTTGCCCTCCCAAAGTGCTGGGATCATAGGCGTGAGCCACTGTGCCTGGCTGCTTTTTTTTTTTTTTTGCAGTTCATTTTGTCTTTTATGTATATCCCGCTAGAGATGTATATTCAAATGCTATGTTTTGAAATCACTCAGTTGACCCTTGAGCAATGCAGGGGTAGGGGTGCTGACCTCCTGCTGCGCAGTTGAAAAATTCATACATAACTTTTGAGTCTTCCAAAATGTAAGTACTAATAGCTTCCTGTTGACTGGAAGACTTACTGATAACAGAAACAGTCGATTGATACATATTTTTATGTTACATGTATTATATACTGTATTCTTATAATAAAGTAAGCTAGAGAAAGGAGCATGTTATTTATTAAGAAAACCATGGGAAGAGAAAATATATTGACTGCTCACTAAGTGGAGGTGGATCATTACAAAGGTCTTCATCCTGGTCATCTTCGCAGAGTCGGGGGAAGAGGAGGAGTTGATCTTGCTGTCTCAGGGGCTGCAGAAGTGGAAGAAAGTCTGCATATAAGTGGACCCAGACGTTTCAACCCTGTGTTGTTCAAGGGTCAACTGTATTTCCTTTCTGTATGGGCAGTGGCACTAACTTGATAGTTAAATGCTTTAAATGTTTATGGATTACTTTTTATAAAGTTTAATTTTCTTTTATAATTTTGCCTAATATTTACATGGTCCCAAAGTCAAATAGACAAAACAAGGTATATTGAGAAAAGTCTAGCTCCTATCCTTGTGTTCTGCCCCCAATATGTGACCCTTTAAAATTTTTTGTCTTATCTTCCCTTTGAGGCCCAGCTATTTGGCCCACAGTGTGAGTGGTTCCGTGCGCAGGCACGCACACCTTTCTTAGGTGAACACGACCCCACACGCGCTCTTCTCCCCTTGGTGTTTCCACGTGCTAGTGCATATACCCTGAGCTCACTCCCTGGCTCCATCTAGAGGTATTAACTTCTCCATTTTTATGGCTGTGCAACACTCCTTGTGTGGACAGACGATGGTTTAGTCAACCAGCCCCTACTGATGGCCATAGAGTTGTTTCCAGTCTTCAGCTGTTACAAACATGGGCACCAACTGGCCTTGTGCATGTTCTTTGCACTGTTTGTGTGACAGACCCTCCATGTGGGAGTGCATTTTCATCCTGCCTGTTTTCCTTTAGAGAGCCAGAAGGTGGACCTGCCAGAGGGGACAGTGGCGAGGCTGCCCCAGGTCAGCGCTTCAGGGATGGGAGCTGATCACCTCACCCAGGAAGAGGCCTCACCAGGGCAGGGGGTTCCTGGCCCCAGCCAGGTGCCTCCTGGCCACCTGCCACTCCCCATAGAATGGGGGGCCAAGGCTCCTGAGACTTCCGGCGAACACCCCGGGACTGGCCTGGAATTGCCTGTGGCACCCGACAGGGTCAGTGAGGTCCCCACCAGCCAGGAGGTTGCATCAAGTACAGGACAAGGAACATCATCCGGCAGGCCTGACTCTAGGCCCTCAGAGGAGGGCATGAGCCTGACTTCAGGGCCCAGCCCCCCACCCCGGGGGCCTCCAGGACTGCCAGCCCAGGCCAGGGCATCTCACCACAATGGAGGAACTCCTCCAAGGTAAGGGGTGCCTTCCAGGTTGGGAAAGGGAAAGAAGTAACTGCAGCCTCTTGGCTGGAGTGGAGCCAGTGGGCCAGCTACACACATTGAGCGTCCACTGCATGCACGGTGCTGGGCTAGCCGTGTGAGAAGACAGGAGAAGGTCCAGGCCCAGTGTTTGGGGGCCTAGAGCACTGGTTCTCACCTGCTGGCCACTGGAATTACTGGGGGAGATTTATCTATCTATCTACCTATCTATTTATTTATTTATTTGGGGTTTTTGTGAGGGGGTCTTGCTATACTTATCCAGGCTGGTCTTGAACATCAGAGCTCAAGTAATAATGTGGAGAGAATTTAAAAAATAAAGATTCCTAGAGATTCTGATTTAATTGGCCTGTAATGAGTTTCAGGCACTGGATTTTTTTTTAAAACTTCTCCCCAGGTGGATTACCAAGGGGACCAAGGTTGAGAATCCCTAGCTCTTAGATCAGTAATAGCTAAAACTGGGCTCGTGGAGCACCTCCCGTGTGCTAGGCCTTGGCCAGACGCTTTGCCAGCACCATCTCATCACATTCCCCTCACATCCCCAGGAGCCGAATGTGGTGTTGCCCCCATTTTATTGGTGAGGAAACTCAGGCTCCCAGGGCCACACAGCTAGAGATTCATAGAGATCTGAATCTGGGTTACTGGGCTCCGGAATCCACGTCCCCAGCCACTGCGTCGTCCTGCCTCCTCTGGGGCGGGAGGGAAGGCGAGTGCCTGGGCTTGCAGGAGGGTGACACCAGAGGTCTGCAGGCGCAGGTGTGGGCAGCCACCAGACTCTTTGGACGCAGCCTCAGGACCTGTGGCAGATGCACGGACGCCGCGTGGCATGGACACGCTGACTCCCAGGCCCTCCCCAGCCCTGTGGGCAGCACCTCCTGGCCCGGGGTGGTGGGCCGACAGGTTATGCTGAGGGCCCGGCGTCTCCTGCACCTGCCCCGGGCTGCCCTAGACCCTGAGACCTGGCTCGGGGAGGGGAGCTGGTGTCTCTCCGTGGTGACTGGCAGAAAAGCCCAAATCATGTGTCTGCCTTTGCTCTGGAAGGAAATGGGAGCCTCCCAGGAGAACTGACTAGCCAGAGGGAGGGTCCAGGCCAGGGTCCCAAATGTGGAATCTAGGGCTGGGGTGAACTTTCTATGAACTTGTTAGGGGCCCCAAAGAGATTCTGAGTGAGAAGAAAATATCTCAGTCTCAGTTGCAGCCCTGAGCTGAATTTCAGGTCCGCTAGACCTGTATCAGGTCTCAGGGTGGGGACGTCAGTACCTGCCTTTCCTCACCCAGACAGGGATCTATTTTGAGGACAATTGGCTTGCTTTGAAGTCGAGTGTCAGCTCTGACGGGCAGTGGCTCAGCGGACCCCGAGGCGGTGTCTGGGCGTGCTGGCGCAGAGCTGGAGCTGATGGCAGTGCTGCCACGGCGTGCTGCACTGTGGGCAGGGAAGCTAAGGCTACTGAGTGGCGTGGAACCTCGTGGCAGTGCCTTTGGGGTCACCCATGCCCCCTGGATGTGAAGACCCAGGGGGAGCAGTGGCTGCTGGACTTCTTAGCTGGCCACCTGGCTGCTCCTCCAGCACCTGGCTTGCTGCCATTTCCTCTGCCTCTCAGTCTGGGATGAGCCTGAGCCAGCCAGGTTTGGAGTGGCTTCACCTGGATGTCGTCCTTCCTACCCTGCCCTGTCATCGCCGACCCATGCTCAGTCCCAAGGGGCGCAGTGTTGGAGGATTTCTGCCGCCTGCCCAGCGCCTGGCTGCAGACAGACCGCTGAGTCTCGCAGAAGCGCCCGGGCACAAGTGCACTCAGAGGCTCAGCAGCTCAGGGAGGGCGGTGGCCTTCCAGCTGCTGGACAGAGGCCTTGCTGTTTTCTTTCTTTTTTTTTTATTACCATAAACAACACATAACAAAATTTACCATCGTAACCATTTTAAGTGTACATTTCAGTAGTGTTAGGTGTGTTCATGTTGTGGTGAAATAGATCTCAGGAACTTTTTCATCCTGCAAAACTGAAAGTCTGTACCCATTAAATCATAACCGCCTGTGTCCCCTCCCCCAGCCCCTGGCAACCACCTTCCACTTTCTGTTGCCCTGAGTTTGAATACTCTAGGGCTTGGGTGTCAGTGGGTTCATTCGGTGTTTGTCGTTGTGACTGGCTTGTTTCACTTAGCATAATGCCCTCAGGTTCACCCATGTCATAGTGTGCCAGAATGCCCTTCCTTTTTAAGGCTGAATAGTATTAATATTCCATTGTATACTTACCACATTTTGCTTATCCATTAATCTGTCAGTGGATATTTGGGTTGTTTTCACCTTTTGGCTGTTATAAATAATGCCTTTATGAACATGTGTGTACAAATATCTCTTGGAGACCCTGCTTGCAATTCTTTTTTTTTTTCTATATATATATATTAGTTGGCCAATTAATTTCTTTCTATTTATAGTAGAGACGGGGTCTCCCTCTTGCTCAGGCTGGTTTTGAACTCCTGACCTCGAGCAATCCGCCCGCCTCGGCCTCCCAGAGTGCTAGGATGACAGGCATGAGCCACCGCGCCTGGCCCTGCTTGCAATTCTTTTGGACATATACCCAAAAGTGGAATTGTCAGAACATATGGTAATTCGACTTTTAAATTCTGAAGAAACTCCAAAGTTTTCCATAGTGACTGCGCCATTTTAGGCCTCACTTTTATTTTTATTTATTTATTTATTTTTATTTTTTGAGACAGGATCTTGCTCTGTCACCTGGGTTGGAGTGCAGTGGCATTATCACAGCTCACAGCAGCCTCAAACTCCCAGGGTCAAGTGATCCTCCTGCCTCAGCCTTCCAAGTAGCTGGGACTACAGGCACAAGCTACCACACCTGGCTAATTTTTTCTATTTTTTGTAGAGATGGGGTCTCACTCTTGCTCAGGCTGGTCTTGAACTCCTGGCCTCAAGCAATCTTCCTGCTTCTGCCTCCCAAAATGCTAGGATTACAGGCGTGAGCCACTGTGCCTAGCCTAGGCCTCACTTTTAAAACCCTACGTTTGTGCTTTCCTCTTACAGTTGAGTCTCAGCACATGTATGAGGTATTGCCATTCCTGTTTGATAGAAGAGAACATAACTGAGGCTGGACTGTCCAAAGTTGTCTAGCAACCAGAAGGCAGAGCTAAGACCAGAATTGAGGCCACCTGAGTCCCTGCCCAAGACCCAGTCCATGCCAGACTGTCACCCTTTCCCCACCCCCAACACACATAGACCCCAGGTCAGTGGGCCTGTGACCGTCAGAAGGAAGCCCGCTGAGCAGCAGCTGGAGCGGGCAGCAACTCTGAGGGGAGAGGGGGCCCTGGGGACGTAGCCAGCAGGCTCATGTCCTTCCCGCTGAGCACCAGGGCTCCGCGGGCCTGCCTGACCTCCAGCTGGGGTTATAAACCCAGTGCTGGTTCGGGGTGGTGGAAATGAGTGGAGTGGTCCAGTGGCATTGCAGGGTGTGGCAGGGCCCGTGGGGAGGTAGAGAATGCACAAGGCTCAGCACAGCAGCTTTCTGTTTGTTCAAGAGAAACAGAAAATCCAGTCTGTTATGAGCAAGTGCCTGATCTTAGTTAAATGCTCCTGACCTGGAGCTGCCAGTGTGCTGTTCGACTTGGTTCCTCTTTCTCTTCACTTAACTGAAAGGGTAACTGGTGCCCAGAGGAAGGTGGGAAGAGCCCAGGTCTCGCACCTGCAGGCCACGATCCTCCTGCGGCAGAAGCAGGTTTGCGGGGAGCCTCACAGAGCCTCACAGCTCCGTCCTCACCCTGTCTGCAGGCTGCCTTCGGCCTTCCCTGGCCCGTCATCCAGCAGAATCCTGAGGGCTGCCGGCACCACTGTCCCCTGAAGCCAGCCCCTGCCCTGGCGTCCTGCCTGGGCAGAGAAGCTCAGGGATCCAGAGGGGCAGGGGATGGAATCAGCTAGTTCCAACCATAAGCTAATTCTTACAACAACCCTCGAGTCCCCATTTTACAGATAAGAAAACTGAGCCTAGAGGCCACTGTCAGTGGTGGCAGCAGTAGGCCTTTGAACCCAGGTCTGTCCTGATTCCCGAGTCCTTAACCTTGGGGCCGTACTTCTCTCTGCCCCAGGACCTCCATCCATGTGCAAGAGACGGACACTCCTGGGGGGCTGCTTGTGACAGGAGGTGGCAGTCTTAGACCCACAGAGGCTCCAGCAGCTGCCCATCCAGGTGAGCAGAACCCACTTGGACCCAGGTGCTGCCTCCAAGCTCCTGGGACTGAGTCAGGAGAACAGACGCCCCAGGGAGCCGGAGTGTTCTCCCCGCCGCAGGAGAGGAACAGCCGTCGGGGAGCAGAGGCGGAGGGGACTCGGGGGGCTGGGGCCGAGCCCGCCAAGAGACCGAGTTTGGCCAGGAGGGATGAAGAAGATGAAGCTGCCGGGGGCCCGGGCCTGCAGCAGGACAAAGGCCCGGGGGCAACAAGAAACCCTGAGCCCAGGAAGGATAGCACGGCGGGCAGCCCAGGAACAGCAGAGGCAGGAAGGAGGTCACCCCTGGGTGCTGAGGCTGGCCGCGTGGTTCTGGGTAAGTGAGGCCCTTGCCTGGCTAGATGTGTGTCCCAAGGCGAGTGGGTTTGCAGGCCCGACTCCGGAGGGGCCTTGCTGCAGCTTCCAGGGACAGATATGCAGGTCTGGGGTGTCCAAGATTCGGGAACAGCCTTCTGCGACATCCTGGGGTGGGGACCAAGGTGCCGAGATGCGGAGGGCTGAGCTCGGATGGGCTCTAGTGGTGGGGGCAGGTACCCACATGGCCCACCTGGGTGGATTTCTGAAAGCCACCTGCTGCCCAAGCTTTCCACCACTGGTGTCAGGTTGGATGGAAACAAGAAGCCCCTGTTAAAAAGCAGAGGCGTGCAGAGCCAGCGCGCATTCACAGCCAGCAAGCTGGGCCTCGCCAGGAGGGCTGAGGGGGGGCTGCGGACCTGGTGGCTCCTTGTGTTCTGTGACCCAGTGGCCCTCAACCCCTCCAGCCCCAGGGTCACACCTTCTTTGGTCCGAGAGTTGGTGGAATGTTCTGGGTGCTCCTGCATCAAGGGCAGGCAGGGACAAGCCCCACCAGACGCCAGCCCTGCCGCACAGACTGGGTTGTGCTGTTTGGTGCATATTCTGGATTCTGTTTTATTCTTTTTCTCTATTTCCTGCAATATTTCTATGTATTCATATTACCTCTGAAGGAAAAGATTAAACCAAAACAACCCTAAACCATTTTTTAAAAATCTTCCCTTGCCAGCGTCCTCGGTTTCTTCTCCAGACCCACTGTCCCCATCCTGTGCCCGGGGCTGCCCATGGGCTCTGCTGCGCTCTCTGCCTCTGGTTCTGGGCGGCGGCGGTGCGGGCAGGTGACAGGGGAGGGGAGGAGGCGGGTGTCTGTCCCCAGCAGCCTCCCCTCTCTCCACCCTGGCCGCTTTCCGCAGCCGTCACTACACTGCCTTTAAAGCAGCCCCTGCCCCCAACTCCGCGCAGGGTCCTTGTCCACATGCGCCGTGTCCTGCGGCCGCACCGATCCTCCCGGATCCCTTCCAAACCTCATGAACAGACTGGATTTAACTTCTCCACCTTGCGGGGGAGAAGGTGCTGGGAGACCCGGGTTGGAATCCCCTCTGTCACTGGCTCCCTGTGTGACCTCACCTGAGACTCAGCTTCCTCCTCTGCCAAATGGGTGCTCTGGTGAGATGGTTTTGAGAAAAGGCTTCCGAATGCCAGGCTGTCAGAAGGGCATGGTGGAGCAGGTGCAGCGGGTCTGGGACGGGTGGCTGAGAGGTGCAGGCTGCGTGTAGGAGGCTCACAGGTTCCTCGTTGTCCCCTGAACAGATGACAGTCTGGCCCCACCAGCCCCTTTCGAACACCGGGTGGTGAGTGTCAAGGAGACCTCGATGTCGGCGGGTTACACAGTGTGCCAGCACCAAGTCTTGGGAGGGTAGGTGGGCGCCGGCCTTGCGGAGGGCGGGCGCGGCGCGGCGCGGGGGCGGGGCGGCGCGGGGCGGGCGCACCCGGAGAAGGGAGCAGGCGCAGCTCCGCGGGGCTCGGGAACCGGCCGGGGAAGCCAAGGCCGGGGGCTGGCGTGCGTGGGCAGGGTGAGGCCAGGAGGGCGGCAGAGCATGGGGGTGGCAGGAGCTGACGCGGGGAGATGAGAAGGGGCCTCTGGAGTGCGGGGGCCTGCGAGGCGAGGCGAGGGGCGGGATGTGCCCTGGGGTGCAGGTGGCCCGTGCGCTGTGAGCGCAGGGGCTAGGACAGGCGGCGCGGCATGGGTGGGGACTGCCTTCCAGGCTTCGGGGCAGCCTGGTGCAGAGGTGCTGCTAGCGCGCGCTGGCTTCGGGGCAGGCCACATGCCACGTGTGGAGGAGGGAGAGGACCAGGGAGCCGGGGCCGGGGTGGCCACTCTGGGGTGAGCCTCGGGGCTCTGAGCCTGCTGTGTCGATGCGTCTCCTCAGGGGCCGGTTCGGCCAGGTCCACAGGTGCACAGAGAAGTCCACAGGCCTCCCCCTGGCAGCCAAGACCATCAAAGTGAAGAGCGCCAGGGACCGGGTGAGGCATCTGCCCTGGGCTGGCCGGGTCCCTCTGGCCGGCCCAAGACTCCTTCACTTCCTTCAGGGCCCCGGGCGCGTCCGTGCTGGACAGGACACCGCTGCCCTTCCCGCCTCTTTCCCGGGGCTCCCCGGTCCGGTCGGCGCGTCCCCTTCGCAGCCCCCGGCCCAGGCTCGCCTGCGCACGCGCAGGCCTCCAGGCAGGGTCTGCCAAGGTGCCTGCGGGACCCTGGCAACAAGGCCCTTTCCTTCCTGGGCCTCGGGCTTCCTATCTGTGAAATGGGTGGGTCATGCTAAGGTCCTTTCTGTCGTAAGAATCAGGTTCAAGTGGTGAGTCAAGGAGGGCTGGTGTGAGAATAGGAAACTGAAGAAGGATGAGGGGTGCGTGTGTGTGCGTGCGTGTGTCTGTCTTGGGAGGTCCAGCTGGCTCCGATTCTGACCCATTTGCTTGGAAACCCCTGTCCCCTGGTTCCCTAGGAGGACGTGAGGAACGAGATCAATATCATGAACCAGCTCGGACACGCGAACCTGATCCAGCTCTACGACGCCTTCGAGAGCAAAAGCAGCTTCACCCTCATCATGGAGTGGTGAGCGTGGGGGCGGGGCGGGGGCGGGCGGGCGCGGCGGGCGGGGCGGGGGCGGGCGCGGGGGGGGCGGCGGGCGGGGCGGGGCGGGCGGCGGCGGTGGGGCGGCGCGGGGCGGGGCGGCGGGCGGCGGGCGGGGCGGCGGCGGGCGCGGGGGCGGCGGGGGCGGCGGGGGGGGGCGGGCGGCCGGGCAGCGCGCGGTGGGGCGGGGCGGGCGGGCGGGTGGGGGGCGCGCGCGGGCGGCGGGCGCGGGCGGCGGCGGGTGGGCGGGGGGCGGGCGGGCGGGCGGGCGGCGGCGGGCGGGCGGCGTGGCGGGGGGGGGGCGGGGCGGGGCGGCGGGGCCTGCCTGTGCTGTGCTGCCGTCGCCTCTGGCAGGGCTGAGCAGTCTGCCATGCCACATCTGTATCAAAAGTGGAAAAGCGAAAGATGAGCTAAAGGCCGTGTGTTTTCAGAAACTTGCATCTCACATAGGGTCCGATTTGCTCACTTACGCTTCTTGCCATGTAGGTACTAGCTGGGTCCCTTGGTGAAGAGTTTGCCACGCTAGTCTAGATCCTCCAGAGTGGCAAGGACTGTTGGCATTAACGGCTGTCCCCTCTTCCCTGCAGCTGTCGCTTCCTTTCACCACGCATAGTTTGTGCTGGGAGTGAGCTCGAGCAAAGGTCCTGATGAAATCTCAGGGGGCAGTGGCGGTGGCCCTGTGACCAGGGGTGTACCCCGGGCTTACCTGAGCTGGCTTCCTTCGGCCTCTGGTGCTGACAGTGCACACGGAGGGCCTTGCTCAGTCTGGTGCCTGCCTCTCCCTTTGTGCCGGCAGTGTGGACGGGGGTGAGCTCTTCGACCGGATCACGGATGAGAAGTACCACCTGACTGAACTGGACGTGGTCTTGTTCACCAAGCAGATCTGCGAGGGTGTGCGCTACCTCCACCAGCAGTACGTCTTGCACCTGGACCTCAAGGTCGGTTCTGCCCTGGGCGCGCAGTGGTGGGGCCCTCAGTTCCTGAGCCTCTGGTGTGCCCTCGCCATTGACAGCTCTGCCATCAGAGGGTGGTCCAGGCGTCCACTCCTGGCTCTGCCGCTTCCTACTTGTGGATGGAGGGCAGGCCAGGCGTGCTGCCCCTCAGAGCCTCAGGTCGTCCATCTGCAACATGGGGTGATTGCACCTCTTTAGTTGTTATTTGAAAAGTAAATGATACAATGACCTTTATTCCTTTAAAAATATCTTTAAGATTAGTTTTCAAAAGTTCAAAAAGGAACATATGCTTGCGGTAACACTTATGTACAATATAATGTATAAAATACACAGTGGAAGTTCTTCCGCCTGGTTTCCATGCTGAGAGATCTCTTTGAGCAAGCTGGCATGACATACACACTCACACACAAGGGAGATCTTATGATGTGTCTTGTTTTTAAGCTTGTTTTTAAAAATATTAAAAAAAATTTTTTTTTTGAGACAGGAACTTGCTCTGTTGCCAGGCTGGAGTGCAGTGGTATAATCATAGCTCACCAGAGCTCAAGCAATCGTATCTCAGCCTGCCAAGTAGCTGGGACTACAGGTGTGAGCCACCACATTCAGATAATTTCTGTTTTTATAGCGACAGGGTCTTGCTCTCTTGCCCAGGCCGGTCTCAAACTTCTAGTCTCAAGCAATGGTCTTGCCTTGGCCTCCCAAAATGCTAGGGTTATAGGTGTGAGCCACCGCACTTAGCCTAAGCTTGCTTTTTTTTTTTTTTTTTTATTTCAAGAAAATATGAGAGTACAAACATTTTGGTTGCATTTTATATCTTTGCCTCTCCCTAGCTAGGGTTAGAGGTATGCCCTTCCCCTCCACACTGCTCACCACATCCCTCAGATGTGGGTCTACCCCCCGACCCCCAAATCCCTGGTGAACACCACCACCATTTGAGCACCATAGTGTTAATCAGTACCAATTTGATGGCAAGGATATGTGGAGCCTGTTCTTCCTATCTTGTGTCACCTCACTTTGGATAATGGGCTTAAGCTCAATCCAGCATAATATAAGCGGTGCTAGCTCACTGTTGTTTCTTAGAATTGAGTAATATTCCACTGTAAACATATACCAAATTTTAATAATCCACTCATGAATTGATGGGCAATTGAGTTGTTTCCACGTCCTTGCAATGGTGAATTGTGCTGCCATAAACAGTCGGGTGCAGATGTCTTTATAATAGAATGTCTTATGCTCTTTTGGGTAGATGTGCTATGCTGGATTGAATGGTATTTCTATTTTTAGCTCTTTGAAGTATTTCCAAATTCTTTTCCACAAAGGTTGCACTAATTTGCAGTCCAACCAGCAGTGTAAGAGTGTTCCTGTCTCTCCACATTCTCACCAGCATTTGTTGTTTTGGGATTCTAAGCTTGCTTTTTTTTTTTTTTTTTTTTTTTTTGAGACAGAGTTCTCGCTTTGTTGCCCAGTGAGTGCCGTGGCATCAGCCTCGCTCATAGCAACCTCAAACTCCTGGGCTTAAGCGATCCTCCTGCCTCAGCCTCCCGAGTAGCTGGGACTACAGGCATGCTATACTAGGTCCGGCTGATTTTTTTTTTTGTATATATTAGTTGGCCAATTAATTTCTTTCTATTTATGGTAGAGACGGGGTCTCGCTCTTGCTCAGGCTGGTTTCAAACTCCCGACCTCGAGCAATCCGCCCGCCTCGGCCTCCCAGAGCGCTAGGACTACAGCCGTGAGCCACCGCGCCCGGCCTAAGCTTGCTTTTAAAGTTAGTCGTAATACAGTGTAGACATCTTTCCTCATTCTCTTTAACCACTTCGGGATGGCGCTCACCGGCCGCGACACCTCGCCACAGCCGCGCTCACAGTCCCCACGGCGGTCTGCGCTGCGTTGACGGCGAGTCCGTTTTGTTCTTGTGTGACGAGGAAAGCTTGGAAGCACTGAAGGCTTGTTTTACTTTACAGGCAGCTTTCCTTGTAATGTAAATCAGAATAGGTAACACATACACATATGTTTCATTATGTTATTTTTAAATGTTCACAATTTTATTTTGATAAATGAAATATTAGAAAAGTCTTATCACAGCTGTCGGCTAAAGTTACCTGTGGCTGTCTGCTGCAGTCGAAGCTGGTCCCGAAGTGGTTAAGGCCCTGTGATGGTCCGCTGAATGACTGCACTGCACTTTTTTGTCTCCTAGGAGTCTCCGTACATAAAGCGCTGGGCACAATGCCTGGCTGGTAGTAAGCACTTGATCCATGGTGGCCATTTTCCACTCCACTGGGACAACGGGACGGTGTTTCTTTACAACTCATTTCAGGAATGGGATTAATGCCAGTGGCTTCCCACAGAAGATGGGAAGTGGGTTGGCTGCACCTTTGGGGGTACACTACTCTTTCTGTCTTTCCTGACTGACATCAGATGGTAAAGTTGGAGTACTCACAGAAATGACTGAGATAGTGGGAAACTGGCCTCAGGCTCCCTCTGCTCACTAGAGCTAATTCTAAGGCTTCTGGACCAGCTACTCTGTGAAGGTGGGAGGTTAGGAAAACTGCTCTGGGATTCTGGGTCAGGGACCTAACTTTGGGGCAGCTCAACTGTGACTGCAGCAGAGATGTAAGCTTTGCTGAGGCCCGTTTCCCAGCCAAGGGCAGGGCTTGTGTAGGTTGAACCCCTTCCTGGTTTCGAAACTTGGAATAAGTTCCTTAAGCTCATCAATTGTAAAATGGGGAATAAATATAGCCATCTCTTAGGGACAGTGTTGTATGGATTAAAAGATGGAGAAAGAGCTCCAGAGACTCATTGTCCAATGCATGTAGCTATTAAGCACTTGGAACATGGCTAGCATGACTGAGAAGCTGAGTTTTTTATTTTTTCTTGAGGGGGACAGGATCTCACTGTGTCAGCCCAGTACAGTGCAGTGACATCATCAAAGTTCCCTGTAACCTCAAACTCCTGGGCTCAAGTGTTCCTCCTGCTGCAGCTTCCCACATAGCTGAGAGTACAGGTGTGTACCACCACACCCCATTAATTCTTTTTTTTTTTTGAGACAGAATCTCACTCTCATGCCTGGGCTAGAGTGCCGTGGCGTCAGCCTAGCTCACAGCAACTTCAAACTCCTGGGCTCAAGCGATCTTCCTGCCTCAGCCTCCCGAGTAACTGGGACTACAGGCATGGGCCACCATGCCTGGCTAATTTTTTCTATTTTTAGTTGTTTGGCTAATTTCTTTCTATTTATGGTAGAGACAGGGTCTCATTCTTGCTCAGGCTGGTCTCGAACTCCTGAACTCAAGCGATCTTCCCGCCTTGGCCTCTGAGAGTGCTAGAATTAGAGCCATGAGCCACGGTGCCTGGCCCTGAATTTTTAATTTTATTAATTTAAATTAATTTGAAATTTAAAACTGACAGTTGATTCAGTTATTAGAAAACTTTTAGTATGTTTAGAACAACCTGGATATGTGAATTTACTTTTCAACTCTAAATTTCATGAAATCTAAATACAGTTTTCTGATTAACCTAGGGTCTGATGAGATACTCTATAAGCGTAAAATGCATACTGAATTTCAAAGACTTAATAGGAAAAAAATGGAAAATATCTCATTAATGTATTTATATTGAAATGATAATATTTTGGATATATTGGGTTAAATAAAATATATTATTAAAATTAATTTTTAAGCCAGGTGTAGTGACTCATACCTGTAATCCCAGTGCTTTGGGAGGCTGAGGCGGAGTGACTTGAGGCAAGGAGTTTGCAACCAGCCTTGGCAACGTAGTGAGACCTCATCCATACAAAAAAAATTGTTTTTAATTCCCTGGGTATGGTAGCGCATGTGCCTGTAATCCCAGCTACTCAGGAGGCTGAGGTAGAAGGATCACTTGAGCCCAGGAATTTGAGGCTGCAGTGATCTATGATGGTGCCAATGCATTTCATCCTGGGTGACAAAATGAGATCTGTGTCTAAAAATAAAAACTTTTAAAAATTAAAAAAATTAAGTTTTAGAAAATATTTTGAGGCCGGGCGCGGTGGCTCACGCCTGTAATCCTAGCTCTTGGGAGGCCGAGGCGGGCGGATTGCTCAAGGTCAGGAGTTCAAAACCAGCCTGAGCAAGAGCGAGACCCCGTCTCTACTATAAATAGAAAGAAATTAATTGGCCAACTGATATATATATATATAAAAAAATTAGCCGGGCATGGTGGCGCATGCCTGTAGTCCCAGCTACTCGAGAGGCTGAGACAGGAGGATCGCCTGAGCCCAGGAGTTTGAGGTTGCTGTGAGCTAGGCTGACGCCACGGCACTCACTCTAGCCTGGGCAACAAAGCGAGACTCTGTCTCAAAAAAAAAAAAAAAAAAAAGAAAATATTTTGAAATGAATGAAAATGAAAACACTGAATATCAAAAATTATGGTATGCAGATTAAACTAAGAAGGAAATTTCTAGCTGTAAATACTTATATTAAAAAGAAGAAAGATTTCAAATCAATAATCAAAACTTCTGCCTTAAGAAACTACAAAAAGAAGAGCAAGTTAAACTCAAAGCATGCAGAATAAGGGAAAATAAAAATTAGAGCATAAATAAATAAAGTAGAAAAAGAATAGAGAAAAATCAAGCCAAAAGTGGGTTCTTTAAAAAGATAAGTAAGTTGGCAAATCTTCAACTATCCTGACGAAGATAAAAAGAGAGAAAACTCAGGTGACTAAAGTCAGGGGTAAAAGATGGGACATCACTAGAGCCCTACAGAAATAAAAAAAGATTATAAAGAAATGCTATAAAAAATTGTATGCCAGCAAGTTAGGTAACCTAGATGAACTGGGCAAATTCCTAGAAAGACACAAACTACTGAAACTGACTCAAGAAGAAACAGAAAATTTGAACAGACGTATAACAATTAAACTGAATAAATAATATAAAAAGGACACATAACAAAGTAGGATTTATCCCAAGAATGCAAGGTTGGTTTAACATGTGAAAATCATATGAAAAATCAATGTAATACATGCCATATTAATAGAAGAAAGGATGAAATCCTATGATCATTTCAATAGATACACAAAAAACACTTGACAAAATCCAACCATTTTTCATGATGAAAACAAGAAATAAACTAGGAATAGAAGAATCCTTACTCAACCTTATAAAGGCTATATATGAAAAAAAGCCAGCTAATTTTTTACTTAATGGTAAAAGACTGAATGCTTTCTGCTTAAGAAAAACTTAAGATTAGGGACAAGACAAGGATGTCTGCTTTTACAACTTCTGTTGAACATTTTACTGGAGGTTCTAACCAGGACAATTAGGCAAAACAAGAAATAAAGGTATCCAGACTGGAAAGGAAGAAGTGAAACTATCTCTTTGCAGATGACATGATCTTGTATAAAGAAATCCTAAGGAGGGGAAACTACTTGAATTAATAAACAAATTCAGCAAGGTTGCAGGATATAAGACAAATATACAGCCGGGCGCTGTGGCTCACGCCTGTAATCCTAGCACTCTGGGAGGCCGAGGCGGGCGGATGGCTTGAGGTCAGGAGTTCAAAACCAGCCTGAGCAAGAGCAAGACCCCGTCTCTACTATAAATGGAAAGAAATTAATTGGCCAACTAAAAATATATACAAAAAATTAGCCGGGCATGGTGGCGCATGCCTGTAGTCCCAGCTACTCGGGAGGCTGAGGCAGGAGGATCGCTTGAACCGCCCAGGAGTTTGGGGTTCTGTGAGCTAGGCTGACCACCAACGGGCACTCACTCTACCCTTAGGCAACAAAGTGACTGACTCTGTCTCAAAAAAAAAAACCAAAAAAAAACCAAATATCACAAAATCCCAAGCCAGGGGCATGGTTCACGCTGTAATCCTAGCACTCTGGGAGGCTGAGGTGGGCAGATTATTTGAGGTCAGGAGTTCAAAACCAGCCTGAGCAAGAGTGAGACCCCGTGTCTACTAAAAATAGAAAAGAATTATACTGGACAACTAAAATATAGAAAAAAAATTAGCTGGGCATGGATGTGCATGCTATATCCCAGCTACTCAGGAGGCTGAGGCAGAAGGATTGCTCAAGCTTGGGAATTTGAGGTTGCTGTGAGCTAGGCTGATGCCATGGCACTCTAGCCCTGGCAACAGAGTGAGACTCTCTCTCTCAAAAAAAAAAAAAAAAAAAGTACAAAAATCAATTGTACTTCTATATACTTGCACTGAACAATCTGTAAATAAAAGTAAGAAAACAATTCCATTTGTGACAGTATAAAAAAAATAAAAGACAGAAAAAAATTAATAAAATAAGTGCAAGACTTATACTCTGGAGACTATAAAACAACGTTGAAAGAATTTAAAGAAGACCTAAATAAATGGAAAGGCATCCCATAGTCATGGATTGAAAGATTCAATATTGTGAAGGTGAACAGTCATTCCCCAAGTTGATCTAAATATTCAGCATAATCCTTGTCAAAATCATAAGAAGTTGGCTTCTTTTGAGATATTAATAGCCTGATCATAAAATTCAGATGGGAATTCAAGGGACCCAGAATAGCAAAAACAATCTAGAAAAAGAACAAATTTGGAGGACTTATATCCCCTGATTTCAAAACTTTCTACAAAGCTACAGAAATTAAAACAGTGTATTACTGGTGTAAGGATAGACATACAGATCAGTGGAATACAATTGAAAGTCCAGAAATAAGCCCTTACATTTATGGTCAATTCAATTTTTACAATATTGCCATGACAATTCAATGTGAAAATAGTAGTCTTTTCAACAAATGGTGCTGGGACACCATGCTAAATAGCCACATGTAAAAGAATGATACTACATACCAAAATTAACTAAAAATTGATCATAGACTTAAATGTGAGAGCTAAAAGTGTAAAATTATTAGAAGAAAACATGGAATAAATCTTTATGACCTTGGATTAAGCAATAATTTCTTAGGTATGATACCAAAAGCATGAGCAAGAAATGAAAAATAGGCTGTGCATTGTGGCTCTTGCCTGTAATTGTAGCACATTAGGAGGCCAAGGCAGGAGGGTCACTTGAGGCCATGAGTTTGATACCAGCCTGGGCAACATATCTCTACAAAAATTAAAAAAAAAAATATCTAGGTGTGGTAGTGCACAACCCTAGTCCCAGCTGCTTGAGAGGCTGAGGAAGGATTCCTTTGAGCTATGAGTTTGAGGTTGCAGTGAGCTATGATGACACCATTGCACTCTAGCCTGGGCAACAGAGCAAGACCCTGCCTCAAAAAAAAAAAATAGATAAATTAGACTTCATCAAAATGAACAACCTTTGTGCTTCAAAGGATACCATCAAGAAAGAAATAACAGTTCACAGAATGAGAGAAAATATTTCCAAATCATATGTCTGATAAGGGACTTATATATGGAATATATAGAGAACTATAATAACTCAATAATAGAAAGACAAATAACCAGATTTAAAGATGGTCAAAGGATTTGAATAGACTTTTATCCAATAAAGATATACAACTGCCAACAAGCACATAAAGAGGTTCTAAACATCATTAGTCATTCTGAAAATATAAATCAAAATCACATTAGCATACTATTTCATACCCATTAGACTGACTAACATAAAAAGTAAAAATGACAGACAAGAAATATTAGCGAGGCTATGGAAAAATTGGAACCCTCATACATTGCTAGTGGGATTGTAAAACTGTGCATTCCATTTTTAAAAGTTTGGCAGTTCATAAAAATGCTAAACATAGAATTACCTATGACCCAGCAGTTTCACTCCCAGGTGTACACCTAAGAGAAGTGAAACATAAGTTTCTTGATGTAATGAGATGCAGGAAAAAATAACTTTAAAAAAAGAAAAAAAGGAGCATAAATTCATACAAAAACTTATACACAAATCTTCTTACCGGGATTACTTACAATACACAAAAAGTGGAAACAGCCCAGATGTTCATTAACTGCTAAATGGATAAACAAAATATGGTATCCATACAATGGAATAATGTTTAGCGTTTAGCCATGAAAAGGAATGACGTCCTGACACATGGTACAACATGGATAAACTCTGAAAACATGCTAAGTGAAAAGCCAGACACAGAATGCCATATATTTTATGATTCCATTTACATGAAATGTCTAGAATAGGCAAATCCACAAAGAGAATGTGTTAGTGATTGCCGGGATTGGGAGTGAGTGAGTGACGGTGGGTGTGGGGTTGGTTGAGTTTTTTTGGAGGTGATGAAAATGTTCTAAAATCAGATCATGATGATCATTGCACGACTCTGTGAATATAGTAAAAGTCACTGAATCGTACATGTTAAAATGGTGAAGTTTATGGTATAATAATTATTTATGTTATAAAAATTCAGTTCACCTGCATCTTTTTACTTTTAAAATGTGGCTACTAGAACATTTTAAATTACTATCTATGTGCCTTCCATAATATTTTTATTGGACAGTGTTGTTCTAGACCTTATAAAGACGACATGGAGGCTGTTAAACACCACTTCCCCACACGTGTCTGAGAATCACACAGCCCCACTGCAACATAAATAAAAACAAAACCCTCTCTGGGGAAGGACAGTGCCCCACGTTTGCTTTGGCGGCTTCGTGCATATTAGGTCATTCGACCCTCCCCTCGCCCAGGGAAACGGGCAGGAAGAGTGTATTATTCCCATTTTACAGATGGAGACACTGGGGTTTCAGGAATGGGAAGGGACTCACCTGGGGCTACAGAACCAGGTAACGGACCCCTGGCCTCAGGCATCGGACGCTCAGTGTCCAGGGGCTTTTACCGCGACCCCTGCAGCTTCCCGCAGCCTCTCCCTGCACGCACGCCGACTCCAGCAGCGGCGGCCTTCCAGGCTCCCAGGGCCTCAGAGCTGATCTGAATGACTAAAAGGAAGTGTGTGGAGGCTACCACCCCCATCCCACGGGTCACAGCTGTCAACACCAAGTGGCAGGTGGACGCTCAGCAGCTCCACTCTCCTCGGCCAGACCAGTGGTGTCTTGGTCTCAGCCCTGAGATTCTGATGTGATTGGGCAGGGCTTGGCCTGGGCACTGGGGCTTTTAAAAGTTCTCCCAGCGATTCCAGTGTGCAGCTGGATTCTGGGACCACTGTCCCAGGCCAGTCCTCTCACACAAGCAGCGTGAGGGGCTCTGTGGGAGGAATGTGTGTTTAAATGTGATTCAGTTGTTGACATTTAGAAGCATGGAATTTTCACACAAAAACCTGAATTTCTGGCTTCTCTTGAGGACTGAGAAGCCCTGGCAGCTGTGCCCGTGCTCCTGCGAGGTGACCTGCGCCTGGAGCTGAGCAGTGGCTGCCCTCTCACCCGGGCCAGGCTTCTGCCGGTGCCCACAGTCCACACCAGGCCTTACCGTCCTACCAGCCCGCTCCATTTATTTCCGTTGGGTATCTAACCCTGTAGGGCTGTCTGAGACACTCATTTCCTTTGGAGGCTGGGAAACTGAGGCCGACAGCCAAGTAAGTGTGGGGCTGCAGGCCTCCCTAGCTGTTAACTGGGCTAAGCAGACTTCTCTTCCTTTCTCAGCCGGAGAACATACTGTGCGTCAATCAGACAGGACACCAAATTAAGATCATTGACTTTGGGCTGGCCAGAAGGTAAGGAGATTTGTTTTAGACGCTTTGACAAAACTCTCCGGGGACTCTGTGGCTCTCTTGGGTATGGTTACTACTGGGCCGGCCAGTGCTTGAGTCTGGAGACTGACGTAAGAAAACCGCCGCTCTCAGAGGCTGGCAGCCTTCGACTTGCAGATAGGCCTTTGCTGCTGCAGGGCTGGCTTTGTGCTGTGGGCTCTGCTTCTCCCTAAAGGTGTGCTGTGGGATTAACTGTACCTCAGACCACCTATCTGAGCAGAGGGGAGTGATGCTTAAAGGGGGTGGCTTCATGGGGGGGCAGCTCAGTTCTCTTGATTCCCGCAGGCCTCTAGGCACCAGGGAATCATGTGCTGAGTTGTGTGATGCAGCCATCTCCACCCCTGCCCTCCAGGAAATGACTAGGTTAGATACAAAAGCACATAGGTGACAGTGGTACCATGGGTCAGTGGCTCCGGAGCCACTCATGACTGGATTAAATCTTGGTAAAATGGTGATATAATGATATTACCTGCTAGCAAGGGGGAAGTTATGATGATTAAATGAGATAAACATGGGCAGCGTGAACCCATCCTATCAGGGTGGTTAGTTCTCAAGTTTCAGTGCACAGATAAACATTGTATATAATTTTCTTTTTATTTAGACAGAGTCTTGCTCTGTTGTCTGGGCTAGAGTGCAGTGGCATCATCATAGCTCACAGCAACCTCAAATTTCTGGGCTCAAGTGATCCTCCAGCCTCAGCTTCCTGAGTAGCTGGGACTACAGGCATGCGCCACCATGCCCGGCTAATTTGTCTGTGTTTTGTCTGTGTTTTGTTTTGTTTTGTTTGTTTGGTTTTTTTTTGAGACAAAGTCTCGCTTTGTTGTCCAGCCTAGAGTGAGTGCCGTGGCATCAGCCTAGCTCACAGCAACCTCAAACTCCTGGGCTCAAGCAATCAATCCTCCTGCCTCAGCCTCCTGAGTAGCTGGGACTACAGGCATGCACCACCACGGCCGGCTAATTTTTTGTATATATATTAGTTGGCCAATTAATTTCTATTTATAGTAGAGACGGGGTCTCACTTTTGCTCAGGCTGGTTTCGAACTCCTGACCTCGAGCGATCTGCCCGCCTCAGCCTCCCAGAGTGCCAGGATTACAGGCGTGAGCTGTCTGTGTTTTGTAGAGACCAGGGTCTAGCTCCTCCTGCTCAGGCTGGTCCTGAACTCTTGGCCTCAAAGGAACCTCCCGCCTCAGCCTCCCAAAGTACTAGGATTACAGGCGTGAGCCACCGTGCCCGACCATGTATGTAATTTTTAAAATATCTTAAAATATTTTTAAATATCTAAAACGGTAAAAGCCTAGTGGCGTGTTATCTACACGTCTGCATGTCTTACTATGCAATCCCGTGCAGCCACACATGCTGAATACTGTGCCTCTCTGCAGGCTCTTGCCCGGGGCATGCACGCCTGGTGGTGTGGGCTTTAGCAGTGGTCATAGCAGACCCTGGCATTTGGGAAAGCTGCCCCCAAACCTTCCAGCACCCACAGTCCATAAGTTGTGCGCCTTCCTCCAGAACTCTGTTGCCTCCAAGAATGACATTTCCCTGGAAATCACGTATTTTCTGGGTAGCACTTTACACCAAAACTGAATTTTCAACTCTTCCTGAAATTTTTTTGTCTTGATGGCTGTTTCCCACCAAGAAGTTGTGTTGTTACTTTGTGAGCCACGCAGTGCCCTTCACTCCAGCCATGAGTGGCCGAAAGCAGGGCCTCGTCCCGGTGGTGGCAGAGCTGCTCACCTGAGCTCAGCTCTGGTTTCCAGCGCCTGCCTCCCAGGGAGCATCCAGACCACAGCGTGGTCTTCCCAGCTCACTCCTCCTCTGGTTGAAGTGGTAAATCTGCAGGGTGAAGATGCATTTTCAGGGCTCCGCATGCTGTTAGTGTAATAGCAGGAGCAAGTTCGTGTCATGCCACCGTACCTTGAGGATCTCTATTACTCAGTGTATGTATTTCATGAACAATATAAAATCCCTCCAACCAAAACACTTAAAGATCACATTCAATCCATAGTGTAAAAAAATTGCTTAATATTTTCCCAAATAACGTGTTATAAGATTGGAGTGCGTTCTGCAGGCTTGCACGTCGCACCCTAGAGCAGCGTTTCTCAGCCTGTCTTCACTGTCGCCGCCTGCCCCTCAGTGGGCCCTTCTAGATGTTCTTTCTACTGCCTGGTCCCCCAACCCATAAAATGTAATGCCACAGATGTACTGTGTATCTGCATATGCAGGCCTTTGGAGAGCACTAACCCATTGCAATAGCTAAGATTTTGGCCTCCCAAGAACCAATCTGTGCCCCCTGCTGGGCAGTATAGTCTACACTGAGAATGCACACTGATGTGCACCGCATGCCCCCGTGCTTGGCGACCCATTGCCACGGGAGCATGTACAGGCACAGCACTATGAACTCAAAGCAAGAAGCCACCACCAGAAGCTGCTGGAGTCAGGCAAGCCTGCTCTGAGCAGTCCGAGGACACATGGACAGGACTTGGTGTCTGCAGACATGGGTATGCCGGCAGATGTTCACGTACCAGCTGAGGACAAGTGGGGAGTGAGAGAGGATGGGGTTGATGTATAATATTTGCCAATTTTGCTAATTTCAAGATACTAAGACGATGTCACTGAACACAGAACTGGAGGGGATGCACACTGTGGACTGGCGCACCCATGACAGCTGGCTCCAGCACAGCACTGCCTAGAAGGGAGGTGGCGGGGACAGTGTGAGTTCTGGGGCTAAGAGTAGGACGTGCACTGTGTATGAACAGGCTAGTCCAGGGGAAGATATGGTATAAGATGAGAGCACTAATGGGGAGTCCTGAATGCTAGGCTCACACTTGGATGAGTTTGAGCACTATCCTATAGGCCACTGAGTCCTACCTGGTGGGGAGGTGAAAAGGTCTATAGGTCAATTTTCTAAAAATTAGCTATTCAAAAGCCTTCCTGCTGAGTGGCCAATCCAGTACAAACCGTCAGACAAGTCAAAGGCATTCATGACAATTTTTCTGGTAGGAGCAGCGGCAGGGGGCAAGTTCAAGTAAACAAACGTAGGGAGCGATATTTAAGAGAAGGCTCTGGCAGGGTGTGGTGGTGCTCGTCTATAATCCCAGCACTCTGGGAGGCAGAGGCAGGAGGATCAATTGAGTCCAGCAGCTTGAGACCAGCAGGGCTATATAGCGAGACCTTGTCTCCACAAAAAAATATTTTAAAAAATTAGCTGTGGTGTGGCACAGATGGGACTACAGGTGTGGTGGTAGCACCTGTAGTCCCAGCTACTGAGGAGACTGAGGCAGGAGGATTCCTTGAGCCCAGCAGTTCAAGGCTGCAGGGAGCTGTGATGGTGCCATGGCACTCCAGCCTGGGTGACACAATGAGACCCTGTCTCAAAAAAAAAAAAAGAGAGAGAGAAGGCCACTTACATAAAATTGCTGGGCATTGGTGACATGCAAGTGCCTAAAACACACAGCTCAGGAAACTGCACTCACTGGGGCTAGGCTGACAGAGACACAGGTTCCTCAATCATCTGGGAAATGGATCATTCAGCTATCAGTTGTTAGGCAAATTGGCTTTTGCCAAATTGGTTTTTCCCAAACTGGCCTGCTTCCTGGGCACTGTGCCTTTCCAAGAGGAAGGATCTGTAGAGGATGTGTAGATTGAGAAAGCATATCTACATTGTAGAATAGCTAAAATTTGTAAAGAGGAAGGAAATACCAGTTATTCCCTCTAATACAAACTATAGAAAATAAGGTTGTATTTCTGGGTGGTGCTCAGATTTTCAGTGGCGGCATGGCCCTGGTGTAGTGGGTGGTGCATACAGACCTTCAGAGTTGATGACACCCAGCAAGAGGGACCAGGGTTATTCCAGGCAGGGAATGAGAGCCATCCTGGATCTAAGTGTCAACATGTCAAGGGTTAAGGCTGGGGACAGAATGGAAATTATCTTGCTTAAGCTAAGTCTCCAGCATGTTGGGAGTCTCCTGACCCTCGTCCAGTGCTTAGATTGAAATTAGAGCACAAAAGATCCTATTTCATCAGATCCTTTAGCAGGGCAAGGGGGTGCCTATGCCAAGCCCTGTGAGGCTGTGACATGCAATGTTACCCTATGGTCACAGATGGACTTGTGTTAGGAATCTGAAGAAGAGGGTATTGATGATATTTTGCCAGCTTTGGGGTGAATGTATCAGTTAGCTATTGCCATAATACTGCTGTATAACAAACCATCCCCAAACCCAGAGTCTTAAAACAGAAATAATTTATTCTCATCCACACATTTGTGAGTCAGCTTGGGTAGTGGTATGTCCACCCAACTCAACTAGTACTTATTATATTAGCTCATGATAAGGAATTTTGTGATTCAGTTGTTAAACATAGCTATTATTTAAAAATTAAATTGGCTGGGCTCGGCTACTCACGCCTGTAATCCTAGCACTCTGGGAGGCCAAGGCGGGCGGATTGCTCGAGGTCGGGAGTTCGAAACCAGCCTGAGCAAGAGCGAGACCCCGTCTCTACTATAAATAAAAAGAAATTAATTGGCCAACTAATATATATAGAAAAAATTAGCCATCCATGGTGGCACATGCCTGTAGTCCCAGCTATTCGGGAGGCTGAGGCAGGAGGATCGCTTGAGCCCAGGAGATTGAGGTTGCTGTGAGCGAGGCTGACGCCACGGCACTCATTCTAGCCTGGGCAACAAAGCGAGACTCTGTCTCAAAAAAAAATTAAATTATATAAACTTATACTTAAATAAATTATATTAAAACCAAAGATACTAAATATTCAAAGCTCATGACTTCCTAATTATTTTGCTACTTTTACTATGTTCTATGCTCAAGAGGTTGTTTGTGCCTATTATGTCTGTATGGTAGAAATACTCTAGAGCTGTGTGCTAATGTACAGCTCTTCCCAAGTCTTCATTCAGTGACATCATGATGGTACCTTGAAATTGCCCATGGTAAAATTGGTATCTCCACCATACCACAGAAATTAAATGCTACAAACCAGGGACTTTTTTTTTAATCCAGAGAGCTGATTAATTCACCCCCACACCCCTGGTTGGGAGTGAGATGCAGGCTGAGCTCAGCTGGACTTGGATCCAGGATGCAGGTCAGTGAGGACAGTCTGCTCCATGTGCCTCTTATTTATTTATTTATTGATTTATTGATTGATTGATTGATTGAGACAGAGTCTCGCTTATTGCCCAGGCTAGAGTGAGTGCCATGGGGTCAGCCTCGCTCACAGCAACCTCAAACTCCTGGGCTCAAGCAATCCTCCTGCCTCAGCCTCCCGAATAGCTGGGACTACAGGCACGCACCACCATGCCCGGCTCATTTTTTATATATATATCAGTTGGCCAATTAATTTCTTTCTATTTATAGTAGAGACGGGGTCTCGCTCTTGCTCAGGCTGGTTTTGAACTCCTGACCTCGAGCAATCCGCCCGCCTCGGCCTCCCAGAGAGCTAGGATTACAGGCGTGAGCCACCGCATGCCTCTTGTGCCTCTTATTCTCTTCTCATGGTGAGGGCAGAGGAGCAAGAGGGTAAGCTCCCATGGCCCAGCTTGGTATTGGCCAATGGTCACTTCCACCCACCTTCCCTTGGCTGAAGCAACTCCATGGCCAAGCCAGCATCCGTGGGTAGTGGAAGGGACTACAAAGCTGCATGACACAAGATTTGGATACAGGGCACAGTGGGGCATTGGGAACAATAATGCAGCTGGGAAGGTGGCTTCCAGGGATTGAGAGAATGGGCCTTCTCTCCTCGAAAGGGCAGGCTCTTCCTCTCGCCTTGGGTCAGGTGCAGGTGCAAGGGGGGCAGGCTGCCAGGGGAGAGCTTGCACTCTCAGCCAGCTCCCTGGCTTCCCGCTGGCCACCTTGCAGCTCCTTCACTGGATGGGGTAGGCTGGATCTGTGTCTGCCTGGCTTTCAGGAAGTCGGGAAGAGAGGAGACTGCCCCTTGAAAACTGGGTTTAAAGGAAGCAGGATGTATTAGCAGAACATTTATTTTATTATTGTTATTCTCAACTGCCTCATCTATAAGATGGGGACAGTAATCTCACTCTTTCATAAGGCTGTTGTGAGGATGAGAAGATACAATAATGCATGTGACACTCCCAGCACAGCGCCCGGCTAATAGAAAGCGCCTGCTGAATTTTAGCTAGAGATTTTCTTCTGCTTCAAGAATGATTCTAAAAAACACTGTTTACCACCCCCTTAATCACTCAGCCATCAGCTGCTAGCCTGGCTTAAACTTCACGTCCATAACTTTTTCTAATTCTTTCTTTTTGGAATTGTGGTAAAAAATACATACCATAACATATACCACCTAGTGTCCGGCAATGGATGTGGCATAAATATGTCATCTAATACTATTCAGCCTTAAAAAAGAAGGAAATCCTGTCATTGGTAATGACACAGATGAACTTGGAGGATGTTATGTTAAATGAAATAAGTCAGGCACAGAGAGACAAATATACGATCTCATGTATACATGGACTCCAAAAGACAAACCGTGGCGGTAGAGAGTTGGACAATGGTTATCAAGGGCAGGTGGGTGGCTGTGGGGAGATGTTGGAAAGTGTACAAAATTTTGGTTAGACAGAAGGACTAAGTTCAATGGATTCTCTGTACTATAGTTATGACAATGTATTGCATACTTGAGAATTGCTAAGGGAATAAATAGATTTTAAGTGTTCTCACCACAAAAAAATAAGTGTGTGAGGTAATACACATGTTAATTAGCTTGATTTAGCCATTCTACAATGTATATCAAAACATCATGTATATCATAAGTATATACAGTTTTCATGTGTCATTTAAAATAAATAAATATGAATAAATTTAAAAAGAACAATTTACCATCTTAATTTTTAGTTGTACAGTAGTGTTAAGTATATTCACACTGTTGTGCAACCAATCTTCAGAACTTTTTCATCTTGCAAAACTGAAACTCTAGGCCGGGTGCAGTGGCTCATGCCTGTAATCCCAGCACTCTGGGAGGCTGAGGTGTGCAGATTGCTCGAGGTCAGGAGTTCAAAACCAGCCTGAGCTAGAGCACGACCTTGTCTCTACTATAAATAGAAAGAAATTAATTGGTCAACTAATATATATAGAAAAAATTAAAGCCGGGCGGGGTGGCTCACGCCTGTAATCCTAGCTCTCTGGGAGGCTGAGGCGGGCGGATTGCTCGAGGTCAGGAGTTCGAAACCAGCCTGAGCAAGAGCAAGACCCCGTTTCTACTATAAATAGAAAGAAATTAATTGGCCAACTGATACATATATATATAAAATGAGCCGGGCATGGTGGCGCATGCCTGTAGTCCCAGCTACTCAGGAGGCTGAGGCAGAAGGATGGCTTGAACCCAGGAGTTTGAGGTTGCTGTGAGCTAGGCTGACGCCACGGCACTCACTCTAGCCTGGGCAACAAAGTGAGACTGTCTCAAAAACAACAACAATAACAACAACAAAACCGAAACTCTACACCCATTATATAACTCCACATTTTCCCTGTCCCTAGCCCTTGGAAACCACCTTTCTACTTTGTTTCTGTGAATTTGCCTATGCTAGGGACCTCCTTTCAGTGGAACTGTACAGTATTCCTTTGTGCCTGGCTTATTTCAGTCAGTACAATGTCCCCAAGGTTCATCCATGTTGTAGCCTGTGTCAGAATTTCCTTCCTTTTTAAGGCCGAATAATATCCATTGTGTGTTTATACTGGTTTGTTTATCCATTCATCTATTAGTGGATACTTGAGTAGCTTTCTCCTTTTGGCTACTATGAATAATGCTGCTATAAACATGAGTGTACAAGTATCTTTTAGAGACCCTCCTTTCAATTCTTTTGGCTCTATGCCCAGAAGTGGAATTGCTGGAATGTATGGTAAATCTACATTTCATTTCTGGAGAGCCTCCACAGCTTTCCATAGTGGCTGCACCATTTTGTGTACCCACCAACAGTGCACAGGTTTCCAATTTCCCTACATCCTTGCCAACACTTGCTATCTTCCATTTCTTTTTTTATCTGGTAGCCATCACGATGGGTGTGAAGTGCTATCGCACTGTGGTTTTTTTTTTTTTTGAGGCAGAGTCTCACTTTGTTGCCCAGGCTAGAGTGAGTGCCGTGGCGTCAGCCTGGCTCACAGCAACCTCAATCTCTGGGGCTCAGCGATCCTACTGCCTCAGCCTCCCGAGTAGCTGGGACTACAGGCATGTGCCACCATGCCCGGCTAATTTTTTGTATATATATATTTTTAGTTGGTCAATTAATTTCTTTCTATTTTTGGTAGAGACGAGGTCTCGCTCAGGCTAGTTTCCAACTCCTGACCTTGAGCGATCCGCCCACCTCGGCCTCCCAAAGTGCTAGGATTACAGGCGTGAGCCACCGCGCCCGGCTACACTGTGGTTTTGATGTGCATTTCCCTAATGATTAGTGATGATGAACATCTTTTCCTCTTTCTCTGATTTTTACAGTCACCCCTCCAAGCACATGATGCACACCCGCAGAGCTGCTCCCCCCAGTGGCTTCTTCCCTGTTTGCTTGTTCTTGTTCATGTGGCTGCAGTGCTGAGTAAGACACACAGATCTTCTCTCCTTTTCAGACTGCAAATGTGTAGAAGAGGACTGTGGTTTCCAATTCTGCCGCTGACTTAGAAAAGCTTGACGTTTGGGGCCCTGGGGTGTGGTCATTCCCCAGTAAACCACCTGTGCAGCGTGGGTGTGAGGTGCAGGCAGCGCAGCTCTCAGGAAGAGTGGGGTGTCTGCCTCCCACTGGGAGTTAGGCCCAGCACCCACATCTTCTCCCAGGCCTCACTCCCATGGTTCTCTGCACCTTCCTCCCCAGGTACAAGCCTCGGGAAAAGCTGAAGGTAAACTTTGGCACTCCCGAGTTCCTGGCTCCAGAAGTCGTCAACTATGATTTCGTCTCGTTCCCCACGGACATGTGGAGCGTGGGAGTCATCACCTACATGCTGTGAGTGCTTAGGGGCCTGGCTCCAGAGTGGGGATGGGGCCATCTGCCCCACTCTGGGTACTCTTAGGAGCAGCAAAAATTTGAGTACAAGTAGTTTATTTGGGAGGTGTCTCCAGGAACCCCCAATAGAGGGGTGGGGTAGTGAGGTGGGGAGAGGTGGCCAGCCAGTAACAGTGTGTCAGTTACTATATTTACAAATTGTCCCTCTGTCCAAGCTATCATTGTCATAGGCTAATGTTGACAAGAAGTTGAGACATGCCCATGTTATTCCCCAGAACAAAGGTCTGAATGTCTCCGTTCTTGGTTATGAGGCCTGCTTGGGCTCCAGCAGCTATATCAAAGTCCTGAGTTGAGCAGTCGAGTCTTTCTGATACTCGGACATAAAGTAATAACTGAAAATAATCAAAAGTAATAATGATAATGACCCTGGAGTAAGGCCCAACTGTGGGCAACTAGACTTCTCCTTCTGCCGGGAGCAATCCACTGCGGACACCCCCGGAGTCACTCCACCTGGGGGCGGGGCTGGGGTGCTTCTATATCAGCTCTTGTTAGTTATCGCCTGTGGGCTGATCCTGGGTGGGGGCCGGGGTAGAATTAATTTCCTGGGACTTCTGGGCGGGCACAGCCAGCTTCGGCTGGAGAGGAAACCCTCCGGCAGAGAGACGCAGGCGCCTTGGTGCAAGCGGGCTGGGGCCGCCAGAGGGCTGAGGGGTGGGCAGAATGGGACACTGCTGCGTCACCCAGCCTCGTCACTTCTGACCTCGTGCTCCCTGCTGTCTTCTCGCCAACTGTGGACTTCCCTTGGCTACTTCCTTAGAGGCCACAAAGTCATGTTTTCTTCTCGTCATGCCACTGCTGCCCGGTGTCCCCGCCCCGAGTGTGCTGCACCGGGCTGGGTGTTGACAGCTCCGAGGCCAGCCCTCAGGCTGTCCTGCCTCCCTGCCTGCACTCTAGCAGGAGCCTAACAAAGCTAGTTTTCCTTTGGCCTGAGGCAGAGATAGATTTTTAAATGAGCCTAGTGGTTTCATAGACATGGAAAGCTATTTTTTTCTTTTCTTGAGACAGGGTCTTGCTCTGTCGCCCAGGCTGGAGTACAGTGGTGCTATCGCAGCTCACTGTAGCCTTGAACTCCTGGTGCAAGTGATCCTCCTGCCTCAGCTTCCCCAGGGACTATAGGCCTGTGCTGCCACACCTGGCTAATTTTTAAAAATTTTCTGTAGAGACAGGGTCTCCCTGTATTGCCCAGGCTGGTCTCAAACTCTTGGTCTCAAGCGATCCTTCCACTTTGGCCTACCAAAGTGCTGGGAGCCACCATGCCCGGCCTGGAAAGCTATTATTATTTTTAATTAAATGTATTTGTACTTGATAACTGAGCGTATTGACCCGGGACCCAGGGAATGAGGGGAAAAGAGGTGAGCATGACGGGATTTATTCCAGATGCTCTTCCTGCCTCCACATGTCAAGCCTGCTTTCCTCCTCTCAGCGAGCACAGCGGACTGCGGAGAGGCGGTGGTGCTCTCCTTTTGAACCCTCTCGGTTCTGGTTAGGGCCACTCGGACCTTGTAAGTTTTTCTCTGTCCTGTCGGTGTGTCGGCACATGCGTCGGCATGGGGACACACTCATGGTCCCTTCTCTCCTCTGCAGACTCAGTGGCTTGTCCCCATTTCTAGGGGAAACAGATGCAGAGACCATGAATTTCATTGTGAACTGCAGCTGGGATTTCGACGCTGACACCTTTGAAGGGCTGTCCGAGGAGGCCAAGGACTTTGTTTCCAGGTTGCTGGTCAAAGAGAAGAGGTACCTTCACTGCTTCTCACCCATGACCTGTTCCAGTGGCAGCCCCTGGTCTGGGTGCTGGGCAGGACTGCTGCAGCTAGGGTCCTTTCTTCCCACAACTGGCTCTGTTCAGGATTTCTTTATCTGCTGCTGCTTTGGAACAATAAAGGGAGCAGAGAAAGGGACAAAGCAAACCAATTTAAAGCAAACAACTAGGACCATAAAATACAGTTTTAGAAAGGGGAGTATTTGCAAATTGATCCTATCTCCAAGTTATTATCACCTGTAATAGGATACGGTTGAAAAAAAGTTGAGATGTGCAGATGTTATTCTCAAGAATAAAAGACCCGAATACCTCATTTCTTATGGCGAAGGTCCACTTAGGCTCCGGCACCTATATCGAAGTCATGGGGTGAGCCACTGGGGTTTTCTGATACTCAGACATAAAGTGATAACTGGAAATAACCAAAGGTGGTGTATGAATAACCCAGAGGGAAGGCCCAACAGTCTGACCTCTAAGACAGCTCACATTTCCCTCACCTTCACTGTTTTGTTTCTTTCTGACTAAAAAGTTATGTGAGAAGAAAAACAATTTCTAGTTCAAATGAGCGAGTTGACTTTACACTCTGGAAGGAGACAGGAGCTTCTCCCAAGCCTCCTGTTCTTTTGCTGCTTAAGGGCAGCTCCAGGCGCTGTGTGCTTCCTGCTGCCCGCCTCAAAGCTGGCCCTGGGGAGGTGGCGATTAGTCACTGGGACATATGCCCTCCATAGAGCTCAGGTGACATTTTGCTGACGACTTTCTGGCATTGCTAAGGAGGGGAATTTTAGGCATGAGGAGTTTCCTCTTTGGTACATGGCCTGAATCTACCTAAATGATTAATCTTCCACTGACTCAGGCTTCCTACATGATCTAACAGGTTTTTGGATTAGAAAAGGCAATCCTGACTAAAAGTCGTGACTGCTGTTTGATTTCACAGCTGCAGAATGAGTGCCGCACAGTGCCTGAAACATGAGTGGCTGAATAATCTGCCTGCCAAGGCTTCAAGATCCAAAGTTGGTCTCAAATCCCAACTATTGCTGCAGAAATACATGGCTCAGAGAAAATGGAAGGTATTTTGTTTTTCTTTTAGTAAAGGCAGCATTTATCTTCTTAATCTGTTCTTTGAAAGAATTGTAGTTAAATCTTTACTTATATTTTGATTCTAAACAGAAAGATTATTTAGGGGGAAAAGTCTCTCTCGTGTCAAAAGCTGTTAACTTGATTTAGAAATACCACAGACCAAAAATAACTGACATAAAGTTACATTTGGTTTGTACTTAATATGGACTCTTGAAGTGACAAAATGAAGTTTAAGCATATGTTCTCAATGGCAATTGCAATGAAACTCCTAAACCAACTGCTTGTAGCATGAGGCCAGATTCCTTCACATTTCAGAAATGAGGGATGGGGCTGGGCGCGGTGGCCCACGCCTGTGATCCTAGCACTCTGGGAGGCCAAGGTGGGAGGATCACTTAAGGTCATGAGTTCGAAACCAGCCTGAGCAAGAGCGAGACTCCATCTCTACTAAAAATAGAAAGAAATTAATTGGCCAACTAATATATATAGAAAAATTAGCCGGGCATGGTGGTGCATGCCTGTAGTCCCAGCTACTTGGGAGGCTGAGGCAGGAGGATTGCTTGAGCCCAGGAGTTTGAGGTTGCTGTGAGCTAGGCTGACACCACAGTACTCTAGCCCGGGCAACAGAGTGAGACTCTGTCTCAAAAAAAAAAAAAGAAAAAGAAAAAAGAAAAAAAAAGAAATGAGGGATGGGAAAGCCCTATTAAGCTTTCAAAACTTTATAAGGTTGTTTACAACAAAACTCTTTGGTACCGTGGATATAAAACCTATCTTCAAAGCAATTGTGATCCAGGAAAGTGGCTTTCTGACATTTTGCTATTGACTTGGATCCTCACTGAGGATCAAAAAACAAAAACGAAACACTATACCTAGGGAGCCAGTACACAGGTGCACATATGTACACGTGTACACATACACGGTACAGAAATCTTGAGACATTTGCTCTGAGTGTGATGCACTCTGATAGTTTCTATTCTATGTCATTTGGTTTCATTTTTAAAATGTGCTGACCACAACCCACCAATTTGACTTCATGACTCCTTGGTAGGTTGTGAACTGCAGTTTTAAAAACTGTTGTAGGGTGCTCCGTCATTTATGTGAAAAGGGCAGAATAACCTATCTTGTCATTTGATACTTACTCCAAACATGCCTCTGAGTCATGTGACTGTTCTACTAAAATTATTCCCCTTTAGATTATCCATTTTAAACAAACCCAAGTGGCTAGACTCACTTAAATCCGTTTGTTGTTTCCTCTTAAAGACATTAGTCTAAAAATACACCTTTTCTTTTCTTCTCTCTTTGTCTCAAGAAACATTTCTACGTAGTGACTGCTGCCAACAGGTTAAGGAAATTTCCAACTTGTCCCTAATCTTCAGTTCTGCTGTTCCAATGGGCCCAGAAGTTATTGAAGCCAGTGGTGAAGTGAAGTGAAGAGATGACTCAAGATTTTAAATAATCTGCTTTTTATCTTATCAATTCCACTTATTTTGTCAAGAAAGGTTATGGCTGCTGCCTTTCTTGTGGATGAAAAATGGCTCTAAAGAAAGCACCCTAAGAACTATTTTCTGCCTTGTAAGATCACTAAGTTTGAAATGCTGTGTTTCCTTTCTTTTCAAGTAACCTACTTTTGGTGGTAAGTGTAGGCATGCTTTAGGTAGGTGGGAAAGCTCCTACTTTGCATGTGTCAAATTTATATTCTAAACTTACTCTGATTAAAGAGCTCTGTAGACTATTTCACAGGGGCATGCTACTCAGTATTATCTCCTCCAGTATAAGGAATTCCTAGGATTTTGATTTGCTTGGGTGTGAGCTGACATTTTACTACCCTACTCTGGTGTCAAGCAACATGGATCCACGACAGTGATCCTCCAACTTGTTTTAATGTATGCTCCCTTTTGAGAATCAATGTCATTGTTTGAAATTTCAAAATATATCAACTATCATGCTAAATCAGAGCAATGGTCATTTTGAATGTGCTTGTTAAATCTATACACACCTCAACCCTCTCTCCCAATTCTGCCCTGTCCTGAGCTCTCTTTCTTGGCTATGAATTTCTGTTTCTGGTCTTATAATCTGGAAAGCAATATGCAATATATGAGAGATAAGAATATAAGGGTGTTCAGCTTTCTGAGAGAGACACATCAATGATACTTCACGAGACAATAAAGGAAAATTGTTCTTCTGATACTTTATTAAGGATATACCACTTTTAATATTGTTATTCTTTAAATATACACTTTTTATATACATGTAAACCTGACTCTTGAACAACACGGTTTGAACTGCACAAATTTTCTTATACTCAGATTTTCTTCCACCTCTGTCATCCCTGAGACTGCAAGCCCAACCCCTCCCCCTCTTCCTCCTCAGCTTAACATGAAGACGATGAGAATGAAAACCTTTATGATGATCCATTGCCACTTAATGAATAGTTAATATATTTTCTCTTTCTTATGATTTCCTTAATAGCATTTTCTTTAGCTTACTTTATTGTAACAATACAGTATATAATGCATATAACATGCAAAATATGTGTTAATTGACTATGTTTTGGTAAGCCTTCTGGTCAACAGTAGGCTATTAGTAGTTAAATTTCGGGGGAGTCAAAAAATCATCCTTGGAGTTTCCACTGCACAGGTCGGCACTACTAACCCCGCGCCGTTCAAGAGTCACCTGTAAATGTCAGTGCTTCACTGCGTGCATTGCAGACTGGCCGCGCATCCATTCACTGAAATGACACTGTTCCCAGCATGGTGAGCGACACATTTATAAACTTCTATATGTGTATACTTAAACACTTAACCAATTTACAAAATGATTAAAAGGGGAACTTTATTACTAAAAATTACACAGGACATGGGTATGGAGAGGGGGGCTGAGGGGGAGCGGTTGTCTTGCTTCTGCAGTTCTCCAGTTATGAATGTCCTCTGGAATGCTAAGCCTTGGTAGGAAGCTAAGATTTTCAGTACCAGCATGGTTAGGTCGACCCCAAGTGGGCCAGTTAATGAATGAGTATCAGAAGAGATGGCTGCTGGAAACTGCCCTTTGATGAGACAGTAACAGTGATTTGGCAAAATGTTTTATTTTTTAAATGTCAGTTGTCTTTCTGAAAAAGGTTTTTTTGAGGGCAGCCTCCAGAAGGAGCTGGAGAGGACATTCTGCGGTTCTGTACGGCATGACGGCTCTTACCATCTTTGGGGCTTAAGATTCTTTGGGGAATGCTGTGAATCTTCTCCCCAGAAAAAGGTAGTTAATTACCTTGATCTAGAGCAGCACTGCCTGACAGAAATAGAATGAGAACCATATACATAATTTAAAAATTCTAGTAGCTCCTCTAAAAACAACCCATTGAAATTAATTTTAATAATGTATTCAATTTAATATAAAATTATTTCAATATGTAATCAATATAAAACTATAGAGATATTTTATATTCTTTTTTCATACTGAGTCTCCAAAATCTGGCATATATTTTACACTTAAAATACATGCTGAGATTGGGCATGGTTGCTCAAGCCTGTGATCCCAGTACTTTGGGAGGCTGAGGTGGGAGGATTACTTGAGGCCAGGAGTTTGAGACCAGCCTGGGCAATGTAGCGAGACCCCACTTCTAAAAAGAAACAATTAGCTGGGTGTGGAGGATCGCAGGAGCTCAACCATTTGGGGTTAGAGTGAGCTATGATTGTGCCACTGCATTCCAGCCTGGACAACAGAGTGAAACCCTGTTTCTAAAAAAAAATAACAATTCAGATGCTAGGTTTTCATTGACCATACTACTTAATCTGTATTTAGAGTTTATAAAATTTACTGCTGAAAAATATACTTACATATTCAAGTTGTTTGAAACATACTTAAAAATTTTCCAATAATTGGAGTATCCACTTTTACATTGATTAAAATTAAATAAAATTAGAAATTCAATCCTGCAGTTGCATTAGCCACATTTTAAATGCTGTGGTTAGTGGCATCTATCTTTGACAGGACAGATCTAGAGAGAATTCTGTATCTATCAAATTTTAATTAATTTTTCCTCTATGCTATTATTCTTTACATAGAGAAACAATTTCTCTCCAAAGTCCCTTTGAAGGATATATGTAGGCCAAGCCCACACAAGTGAGAGGGAATGTGGATTTCAGCCTCCCTGAACCTAAATTCGAGAGAGCTTTTGCAAAGCTTGAATTTTCTGAATATTTTTAGTACTTTACTTTGCTGGTGTGTACTTAGCTCAAAAATTTTTAGATGGCAGCTGTATTGGTATCACTTTTCCATTTGAATAAACAGCCACTGGAAACTGCTGGGCAGAGAAACTTGAAAAGGTATCTGCCTCCTGCTTTTTTCACCTATCAGATTGGTGAAGAGTTGGTGAGGGTGTGGGGAAATGCCATTCTCCCACTTTTGATAGATATGTATCCAAATAAAACTCATGCTCAGGGTGGGCACGGTGGCTCACGCCTGTAATCCTAGCTCTCTGGGAGGCTGAGGCGGGCAGATTGCTCGAGGTCAGGAGTTCAAAACCAGCCTGAGAAAGAGCGAGACCCCGTCTCTACTAAAAAGAGAAAGAAATTAATTGGCCAACTAAAAATATATACAAAAAATTACCTTGCCATGGTGGTGCATGCCTATAGTCCCAGCTGCTTGGGAGGCTGAGGCAGGAGGATCGCTTGAGTCCAGGAGTTGGAGGTTGCTGTGAGCTAGGCTGACATCATGGCACTCTAGCTCAGGCAACAGAGTGAGACTCTGTCTCAAAAACAACAATAAAAAACCCCGGAGGGGGGGAAATGGGCATTTATTGAAACCTTAAAATCTGTACCCCCATAATATGCCAAAATAAAGAAAAAAAACCCCAAAAAACAAAGAATAAGTCACAAACAGTACTTATATTTATTCTCATATTGTAATATACAAGACTCAAAATTTCCAGATTTATCAGAATCACATCTTAATAGTGTAATTTAAAAGTGAATATACTTAATTAAGTCAAAATGGATCAAACATAAATGTTAGAACTAAAACAATAAAACTCTTAGGCAAAAACAGGGAAAACTTCATGACATTGGATTTGGCAATGATTTCTTGAACATAACAGCAAAGCACAGGCAATGAAAGTAAAAACATAAATTAGACTACATCAAAATTAAAAACTTCTGTGCATTAAAGGAGAAAAGGCAACTTAATGGGAGAAAATACTTGCTGATCATATATCTGATCAGGATTAGGACATAGACGATATAAAAAAACTCCAGAAATTCAAACAATTTTTATTGTTTTTTAATAACCTGATTCAGAATGGGGCAAAGGACTTAAATAGACTTTTACCCAAAGAAAATATACAAACAGCTAATAAGCACATGAAAAGATGCTCCACATCTTTCCCCTAATCATTAGGGAAATGCAAATCAAAACCACAAGGAGATAACATCTCACACCCATTAGGATGGCTACCATGGAAAAAAGGAAAAGAAAAAGCCTTGGAAAATAACAAGTTTTTTAGCAAGGATGTGGAGAAACTGGAACACTTGTGCAATATTGGTGGGACTATAATATGGTGCAGCTACCACAGACAGTATGGTAGCTTCTCAAAAACTTAGAATTACTATTTGGCCCAGCAATCCCACTTCTGGGTATACACGCAAAAGAACTGAAAGCAGCGTCCTCAAGAGATTTGTACACTCATGTTCATACCAACATTACTCAAAATAGCCAAGAGAAGCAACACAAGTGTCCCATTGACCAACGAATAAACAAAATGTGGTATATACAAGTGAATATTCAGCCTTGAAAAGGAAGGAAAGTCTGACATATGCTACATAGATGAAACTTGAGGACTTTATGTTGAGTGAGATAAGCCAGTCACAAAGACAAATACTGTTTGATTCCACTTATCAAATTCAGAAGCACTTAGTCAAATTCAGAAGGTAGAATGATAGTTGCCAGGGAGTAAGGAGGAGGCATGGGGAGTTGTTTAATGGGCAGTCAGTTTTGCAAGATGAAAAAATTGTGGAGATTGGTCGCAAAACAGTGACTGTACACTACTGAGCTGTATACTTAAAAAGATTGAGATGATAAATTTTGTCATGTATATTTTACAATTAAAAATATTAAATGTACTTAATTTTACATGATGAGTACGTTGCTTTTGACTCAAAGCTAGACATCTAAATCTTGTCAACAAATAAATTATACACCTTCTTCAAATAAATGAAGATTCACTTATCCATTTTAGACCAAAGTAACAAAAGCTACTACTTAATGAATGCCTTCTAAGTGCTATACACTTTATAATATAATATGACCTTTAAATTTCACAAGACAGATTTTTTATTTTTATTTATATTTATTTATTCTTTATGTATTGTTATTTTTGATTGATTGACAGGGCCTTGCTGTGTTGCCCAGGTACAGTGTACTGGCTATTAACAGGTGCAATCAGCTCACTGCTGCCTCAAACTACTAGGCTCAAGTGATCCTCCTGCCTTAGCCTCCAGAGTAGCTGGGCCTAGAGTCATGTGCCATGGCACCTGGCTTTTTTATTTTACAAATGAGAAAACAGAGGTTCAGTAAGGTTTTGAGCTTTTTTTAAAGGGAGAAGTGGCAAAGCCAGAATTTCAGTCCTCTGTGTGTGGTTCCAAAGGTGATGATCAAGCCCCAATACCCACAGACTTTGCCAGACATTATGCTTATGTTGGGAACATTTCATTGTAGTATTTCTTTAGTCTGAGTCTGCTAAATTTCTACAATCAAAAAGCGCAAAGGGCGGGCACGGTGGCTCATGCCTGTAATCCTAGCACTCTGGGAGGCTGAGGCGGGAGGATTGCTCAAGGTCAGGAGTTCGAAGCCAGCCTGAGCAAGAGCAAGACCCCCATCTCTACTATAAATACAAAGAAATTAATTGGCCAACTAAAAATATATACAAAAAATTAGCCGGGCATGGTGGCGCATGCCTGTAGTCCCAGCTACTTGGGAGGCTGAGGCAGAAGGATTGCTTGAACCCAGGAGTTTGAGGTTGCTGTGAGGCCAGTGCGCTGACAGCGCAATGGGGCCACTGCTAGCCCCCGCCCGCGCGCACAGAGTGACGAGTCTAGTCTCAAAAAAGGCCGCCGCCGCGGGAACGAAAATCACTTTAACAGCTGCATTCTCACGGTCTGTGCACATAGGAAAAAAAAAAAAAAAAACAAATTATCGCCCTTCTATCCTCACGCGCAGATAACAAGCGCACTCACTATTATTATTGATGCCATTCCGATTACATTTTTAAAAACTTAGATGTAATCACTTCATCATGGAAATTTTTTTTTTTTTTGAGACAGAGTCTCACTTTGTTGCCCAGGCTAGAGTGAGTGCCGTGGCATCAGCCTGGCTCACAGCAACCTCAATCTCCGGGTCTCAGCGATCCTCCTGCCTCAGCTCCTGAGTAGCTGGACTACAGGCATGCGCCACCATCCCGGCTAATTTTTTCTATATATGTATTTTTTAGTTGGTCAATTAATTTATTTCTATTTTTGGTAGAGACGGGGTCTTGCTCAGGCTAGTTTCGAACTGACCTTGAGCAATCCGCCTGCCTCGGCCTCCCAAAGTGTCAGGATTACAGGCGTGAGCCACCGTGCCTGGCCATCATGGAAATATTTAATAAGATCATGTATTCTTAATTTTACTGAAAATTATGTTTGGCATGATTCCCTTAGCAACTTCTTACCTTCATAAAGGTCCTTTCCCATGGTTTTTTTTTTTTTTGAGACAGAGTCTCACTTTGTTGTCCAGGCTAGAGTGAGTGCCATGGCCTCAGCTAGCTCAGCAGCACCTCAAACTCTGGCTCAAGCAATCTGCTGCCTCAGCCTCTGGAGTGGCTGGGACTACAGGCATGCGCCACCATGCCCGGCTAATTTTTTCTTTATTTATTAGTTGGCCATTTAATTTCTTTCTATTTATAGTAGAGACGGGGTCTCGTTCTTGCTCAGGCTGGTTTCGAACTTCTGACCTTTAGCAATCTGCCCGCCTCGGCCTCCCAGAGGGCTAGGATTCCACCGTCCCCGGCCTCCATGGTTTTAAAATAAGCAGTATTTACACTAAAGTCACATTTTCCAGTATGTAGGTATAATGGAAAATAAACCTTGATGTATTGCTTAATTTTAGAATAAGGTGCTAATGCTTTATGTGAGATTTTCTCTACATTCTAATATTTACTAAATATTTTTTTTTTTTTTTTTTGAGACAGAGTCTCACTTTGTTGCCCGGGCTAGAGTGAGTGCCGTGGCGTCAGCCTAGCTCACAGCAACCTCAAACTCCTGGGCTCGAGTGATCCTTCTGCCTCAGCCTCCCGGGTAGCTGGGACTACAGGCATGCGCCACCATGCCCGGCTAATTTTTATATATATATATCAGTTGGCCAATTAATTTCTTTCTATTTATAGTAGAGACGGGGTCTCGCTCAGGCTGGTTTTGAACTCCTGACCTTGAGCAATCCGCCCGCCTCGGCCTCCCAAGAGCTAGGATTACAGGCGTGAGCCACAGCGCCCGGCCTTACTAAATATTGATAGCAGGTACTGTGCTAAATGGTTTCCACGTATTGGCTCAGACACTCCTTCGAATTATACTATGAGGTAGTACCATTTTTATTCTTACTTTATAGATGAGGAATAAAGAAGCTAATTAATTTGCTCAAGGTTTCACAGGTGGTAAGTGGCTGAGCAGGGTTTTAAACCCAGGAAGTCTGATTCAAGTTTGTGCTCTGTTGAGCAGTGTGCCTCTTTTCCTGCTAGAGTAGACATAGCTTTTAGCATAACAAGGATTTCCCCAATCTGATAAGTGCAATTTGAATGCATATAAAAATAACATTTATTAACTTAGGCTGTATAACATATTGATTTAGTCAAACCAAAAAACTTAACACAAAAACTTAAGTAAATCTGTAAGGTTCCATTTAGCCTGAATTTTATGTTCTGGATAGGACAGGAGACTGCCGTTCACTCAACACAAAACAAAGCAAAATGGCTCCGATTCCATTTCTGTAGGAGCACATAAGGCTATTCCAGTCAGGCACTGTAGTTGATCTAATGTTGCCCACATCAGGGCCAGCCTGCCCAGAACTTAGCCCCAGTGCTGCTTTCTTTGTTATGAAGGCAACAGTCTTAGGATCCTTGTTATAAAAGTTCAAACAAAATTCCAAAGCGCTCAAATCTTCCTGGAGGTGGCACTGTACTTTAGTTTGCATCACATGCCAGACTGGAAGCTGAAATCACTCTGCTGTAGCCTTTTGAACATTAGCAGCATTTTCCAAAATTTTTCTTTTCCATTCTTCATAATCCTGTGTCAGATCTTCATCTTTCTGCAGTTTATGTGGCATCTCTATTACTTCCTCTATTTCTATTAGAGAAAATTATCAAACATAATTTCAAAATTCTTATGTTTAGTAACAAAATAAGAAAAAAGCAAACTTGTTTAAAGTATCTACTTTAATTAATGTAATAGGAAATAAAATACTGAAATGAAATGCAGAAACAGCAGCTATCACTTTTTTTGAAGAGATGGGGTCTTGCTATGTTCCTCAGGCTAGACATGAACTCCTGGGCTTAAGCAATCCTCCCACCTCGGTTTCGCAAGTAGCTACTGTGTTTCCTTGAAAATGAGACAGGTTCTTATATTTATTTTTCCTCAAGAAGACACCCTAAGGGCTTATTTTCAGGGGATGTGTTATTTTTTTCAAGTACGGTACAACAATCTACATTTATTCATATAGTTAAGTCGTCTTCTTCTGGAACATCATCATAACTCTCCAAACCCCGAATTCCATCCTGAATTTCTTGTGACTCTATTTCCTTTAGAACCATTGGCCCTATTCTCTCGTGTTGAGTAAGAGAGCTCTCATGGGGCAGATAAGAAAGGCTGCTCGTCTTCTTTACCGCTCTGTGACAAAATGCACGGGTTGTGCAGATATGCTGAGCTGCCACTCCCATCACTAGGTCTTATTTTCAGGGTAGGACCTACATTGTGCAAATGCTTAGAAATCCTGCTAGGGCTTATTTTATGGGTAGGTCTTATTTTCGGGGAAACACGGTAGGACTACAAGCTTATGCCACCGCACCCAGCTAAACTATCACCTTTTTCTCTTCCTTATATTCCAAGCATTCCAAGACTTCCAATAGCTAACATTTATCAAGCACTTATCGCATGTTTTATAGGCAGTGAACCAAGCACTTTAATAGTATTATCTCATTTAACCCTCACCGGACTCCATAATGCACTAATTACAATGTCAGTTCAGAGTTAGTAAAACTTACCCTTTGCTGGGGGTTCAATCACTGTCTTCTTTTTTTTTCGTGGTGGAGTAGCTGAATCACTAGGTTCTCCTTTAAGGAAAAAAGTATTATCAAGGTTAATTTCCTCCCATTCTCAATTTCAGTATTTGGGCATATTTTGGATCACAAGTAAAAATTAGAACCTTGACTGACAAAATATGAGGATAAGTAGAAGGCAAAAGATTTTGGCCTTCTCTTTTTTTTGGCCTCTCTGGTCAGACTTGAGAATCACTTCTATTTTAGCTTATGTTCACTTAACACTGGAACATGTTAATAAAGAATTTATTTTCCAGGCACAGATTAATGGAATCATAGGTCTTAAAAAAGTTATTAAGTTATTTTACTTGAAAAAAATTAATATTAAACCCAATTTTCTCACTAAAAACATATCTGGTCCACATGTAATATAGAATTTAGGAAGCAGCCAGTTTGTAAGTTTAAAAATATTTGACTTTTACCAGTAAGTCTACATTTTAAAATGACATATTCTTGAACTACAGAATACTCACTGTTAATCTGCTGTCCAATCTTCTCTAATTGTTTATACAGTCGATCGAATATGGCTTTTTTAACACCAGATGTGGCTACCATTTTGTTTTTATCCACTTTCAGCTTTAGAATCCTATGAAAGAATTTCATAAGTTGCTTTGCTCAAGACCAATAGTTTTCCTCTCTGGCCAACCAGATCATCAACTTATTTCCTGTTTGCCCATGCTTTAGTAAGAACCCCCAACTGTCTAGTTTTTCCCTTATTCCAAACATGCCATTAACTATAACCAAGTAAATTTGCCTTTTAAAGCTTTTTTTTTTTTTATTGGACTGAGTTAAAATGCACATGGAATTTGTTTTGTAACAAAAGGGGCACATAAAAGACATTTGCTGTAGTGCTTTTATACACTCTTTTTAGTAAATTTCAGATGTTATTAATTTGCTGAATGACAATCATAGCATTTTTTAAAAAGTGTTCAACTCATTTTAATCCATGATACTCCCCACCCCATCCTGAAAAAAAAAACAAACAAAATACCCTACTAGTAACAAAGCACCGCTAATAAAAAACAGAAAACAAACTTTTTATTCAGGAAAGCAGACCTTCTCAAATCTTTCTTTACTCAGTGTAGTATGGTTTCAAAAGTGGGATTATTTGACTGTTCTGTTTTCTACAATAACAGCCACACTCCCTCTTCATACACACATACCTTTGTTGAATTAAAGGGACATTTTCTACAAATGTCATTAATCACTCCTGGGTATGTAGCTAATAAAGTCAAGCATACCAAAATTAGGCTAGGTAGTGAGAAACCTATTATTTAAGGGCCAACTACATTTTGTTTTCTAAGGAGTTTTCCAGCAAGATAAAATAAGACAACTTTAGATAAAGACATCAACAATTGCAACAGAGCAAGACTCTGTCTCAAAAAAAAAAAAAAAAAACCCAGGAGATCACACATGAACACTGTTTCAATGACAGATTTCATCACTTACATAAAAGGCAGACTCTGAGATCAGAATACCAGTTTATGCCACTTGGCAAGTGGATTTCTGGCATCACCAGTACCAAGTTGTCAACTACATTATGGGATAAATGGGGAACTTGGCCACTATTACCAATGTTATATATAGAGGAAAATATGCTCTGAGTTGAAATCAACTAAATTATAAGTATTCTTTGAAAATGAAAAATGCACCTATTAGTTGGGAACTTTTCTGAATGGTAAAAGGAACACTTACTTGCATGCTGAAAGTAGTGCAGCGGTGGTGAAAAGTGGTCTGGATAAGTCAAGATCTACTTGCTGTGTCTGGGGAAGACTGGACTCATAGCTAAGGGGGAACAGTGTTTGCAGCATTCTTTGTTAGAAAATATTTCAAAAGGGACTGAAGATGTAAATCAGAACTTACAACATTTTAAAAACACATGAGATGTGCTGTGTTACTTTGGCATATTAGTTATTTTTTTAAGACTGAAAATCAGAATATAATACTGGGTGATTTTGCTTTATCAGTATAAATTTTCAATTAAGGTTCTTTATGCCCCATACCTTTGCAGTAACTTTGAAGCCATGTTCACTGCTTCTGTACAGCTAAACTGTATGGCTAGGTCTCTTATTCCAATATTTGAATCCAGGCCCAGTAAACACTCAAAAGATTTAAGACAGCTGTGATATGTCTTCTTGTTCAAACCAGAAAGTTTAATTAAATAAGCCTTTGAAAGGAAACACACACACATCGTAAAAATCATAAGTTCTATATATTGGTACCCTTAAACACTTGTTTAATAAGTGGTATCAAGTTTTCAAAATTAATCAGTTCTGTGGCAAGTCAGTCTACCTAAAGGTTTAGCTTCATTTAGTCAAAAAATAGTAATCATGTCAGCCAGAGTAAGTACTGCTTTCAAAGAGCTCATATTATAGAAAGGCAGTCATGCATATATCCAGATAATTTAAAATTATTACATAGTATTAATGTAACCAAGCTATGAGTAAAAAATGGTAGGAGACACCTACTTATATGGGTACTTGTATTTCAAGAAAGGTGCCAATGTGCAATTTATTAAGAAAATGAAGGGAAAAGTAGTGGGAATGGGGAGGGGAGGGTATGTGTGTGGAGTAGGGAAAGGGAGAGTCAAGGAAACTTCAGAAAGGATATAACTCATAAGACAAATAGGAGCTTGCCAGAAAAGCACTACAGGAAAAAAAAGGTAATGTATTTATAAAGCTGCTAGTGACTAAAGTACACAGTCTGTTAAGTGAATTCTGTAGTTTGAGGTCAGGGGTCAACATAGGCTGGAGAGTTTGATGATAATGGCAAGCCAACACAGCATTGTTTTTAATACTACCATTTCATGAGTGTATTGCTATGACATAGATACTGTGTTAAGTGTGTTACATACAATATATTGTATAATCTTCCAAAAGTCCAGTGAAATGGGTATTTTTATCCCCAGTTTATGGATGAGGAAACTGGAGGTTTAGAACTAGTAAATAGTGTTGAGATTTGATCCCAACATGTGACTCTTTCTGATTCCAAAGCTTGTTCTCCCAATCACTGTGATAATGGAAGAAAAACATAGGTTTTAAAGTATGTGCTTTAGAAAGATTATGTTAGCAGTAGCGTAGAAGATGAACTCTAGTAAAGAAAGACGTGGTCAGAGAAACCAGATAGTGAAGAGTAAAGAAAATATTGCAAAAATCTTTTTTTCCAACCCAACAAAATGATTCTAAAGTCTATCCAGAATAACATATGAGAATAGCCAGGAAAATTCTAAAACAAGAGTTTTGACTGGGGTCTAGTCCAACCAAAAATTTAAATGTAATGGTTAACTAATGTTATAATAGATTACTCATTCAGTGGGACCTACTTACCCTGTCCAAGGGGCACTTCATAGAGGAGGCGGCAAGGTCCAGGCACATGACTGCACTGCTGGTTTCTGTAGTGTGTGCAGACAGGCCAATACACTTCACCTGAGACAGTCGTAAGTACTCCTCTGCTTTCCTAGTTTAAAGGGCAAAGTGTTCACTAAAACTTTCATTCAGAAGTTTGCCCAATACTTTGGTAAACAATGAATACAGCCTGGTGGAGTTGATACTGTGCCTAACTACTGTGCAAGTTTATTTGGGTCTGGGAATGAAGCTCACATTCTTTGGGGAGGGGAAGCTCTAAAAGACAGAACCAGCACCCTGACTCCAGACATCACTGTGCTCAAGTGTTTTCAGGCAAAAGTTCCAGGGGGGGAAAAATCCCTTCTTTGCTCCTTCCATTACTGGAACAAACATGAACTATCAGAGGCAGGCAGGTTAGACTAGGGTTCCCCACCCCAAACTTCTTTTAAAGCAGTGGTTCTCAAACTTTACTGTACAGGACAATCACCAGCTAGTGAAAACAGATTGCCATGTCCCGTCCCCAGTTTCTGGACAGTAGGCGTGGGATGGGGCCCAGGAATTTCTAACAAGTACCAAGACACCGCTGCTGCTGGTCCAGGAAGTACACGTTGAGAACCGCTGTTCTAAATGATTACAGTCCTGGAGGTCCGTCTGCAAATCTTTAAAGACGTGTTCTTTTCCTTCCCTTCCCTCACCTAACTGACTGCTGAGGCACTGAGCCTGGTCCCGCTCTCCACCCGTTAACCACAATGGCTTTACCTTGAACCGCCATGATCAAGGCTCTACCTTGATCATGCAAAGATCCTCCCCATCTAAAGGCCTCTGCACAGGCTGTAGTCTCTGCTCGCACCACTCTCACATCTTCCCTCGCCTGGCACCTTGTATCACCTCCTCTGAGCCCTTTTCTGAATTTTTGTGAAAGGCAGCTGCCAGGCCAGGCCGCGCCCCGCCCAGCCTCCCAGTCGCCCCGGCACGTCACCCTGTGGAACGTTCTTCACGGTTCTCGCCATCACACACCGTGGCCTCTGCAGGGCCCTCATTGAAAGTCCACGGAACGACGGACGTTCCCCCCGACTTGTTCCTTTTCCTACCTACCACTTGCGCTAGCTCCCCCCGAGCCGGCAGTGCCCAGGGCCGTCTACGATCGCTCCTCCACGCCCTCTCACGGAAACCCACTGCCGGGAAGTTTTCCTTAGAGAAGGGCCTACACGTCGCGCGGCCCAGGAGCTCCCTGGAGCTCCTGCACCGCCCGTTGCCCGGGAAAGGCTCAGGCCTCGTCGGAGGGCCAGGGTCGCGGGGCAGGCGTGGGTGCCCGGACTCACCTCAGCACGCCAGGCTCCGCGAGGCCCAGGCGCGGGGCCAGGTGCCCGATCAGCCCGGACCCCATAGCGGACACGCTAACGACCCGGGGTTGGCCGGGGCGAGGCGAAATGCGCGCGCAGACTCAGCGCCGTCCAGTGAGAGCCAGCTCCCAACCCTGGTGCATCTGTATTGGTTGGACCAAAATGTTAAGACCGTTTTACAAGCCAATCCTGGTCTTGATTTTGCGCATGCGCACCGTGAGTGCATTTTCCAAGGCGGATACAGTGAACGTAAACCGGCGGTTTCCTCTCTGATTCCTTCCTTCTTGACAAACTCATCACACAGCGTCTTTCCCTCCTGCTGTCTCCAGCCTGACGCCGAACGATCCCCACTACTCCGCTCCGCCCCGCCCCCGCCACTCTAACACACTGTGGAGAGATTGGTTAGTTCCCAGGTCCGTCAGTCTAGCGTGAAGTGTCAAGGGCCAATAAACACGCGAGACTTGCGTTCCTAGAAGTAGGCCAATCGAGGAGCCGGCTGCAGGGCCTGAAGGCGGGGCTATAGGGGGCGGGGCTTGGGGGAAGCGTCACATGACCGCGGGAGGCTCCTCGCTGGGTGGGTGCTGATTGCTGCAGGCTCTGGGGAGTCGCCATGGTGAGTGATGAGGGGGCGGTGGGCCCCGGCGGACCCTTGCATACCCTGCTCTCTCTCGCCGCCCTGGAGCCCTTCGGGCGGAGTAGAGGCCGTGCAGCCTGATTGGGGCTAACACCAGCCCGGCTTGGCTTGTGAGGTGGGGGACAGGCCGAGAAGGCCGCAGGCGGCTGAGCCGGGCGGCAGTGGGCGGTGGCTCCTGGCTGCAGCCGTTTGTCTCAGGTGGAGTGGCCTCTCTGTAGGGGTGACTCGGTCTGTAGGCTCTGGAAGTCCCTGCAGGTCTGTATCCACCTCTCATGGAATCAGCCACCTCCCTGCCATGAGGGGAGCCCGAGCCCTAGATCTGATCATCTGGCCGGGTTAGGGGAATGCCAAGGGCCTGCGGCTTCGTGGTGGCGCCGGGATCCTTCCAGATGTTGGGTTAACACTTTTGTGCCTAGTTGTGTTGGGCCGGCCCCACGCCCTGCTGGAGGGTCGCTATGGTTTCCTGGCCTTTCTTGGCGTCACAGTTCCCTTCGGCTGCAGTGTTTGTCAGAGAATTCTAGGCACCTGCTTACGTGAATTTCCTGGAAGGAGTCGTACTGTCTTCTACTAATCCTGACAGTCGAAAAGGAGACTGATTGTTCTTTAGTGTTTGTTCATTGGGCACCCTGGTTCTCTTGTCCCATTGATGAAATCCAAGTATTTTACTTGGTGGAAGTAATCATTTTCCTTAGGTTCTCTCCATAATGGCAGCAAATCGTGGTTTGGCTTTTGGCCGCTAAACTTGAACTTCCTCAAAATGTGAACCCTTGTCTCTAGTCCCCACAGAGGCAAGTTATCACTTGCACTTTATTAGCATTTGACATAGTCTGCTTGTATGAATAATGTTTTTAATGTTGGTGTGCTGTGTGTCAGTTGTAACTGTCTTATTCACTCTATTGTAGACAGGCTTCTGTAAACCCGTAGGCATGGAAACAGATTTCACTTTAAATGTGTTACTGTCAGAAAATATTAACTGTTTGACTTACACTACTTTCATATAATTTATGGTCATACAAGGTAATTTTGCTAATTTCTCAGAATTTTTGCAATTGGGAATTGATAAAAGACTGATAAGATCTGACTTTAGGATTTGTCTATTTCTCAACATTTATGGATTGACATTTATAGTGATTTTTTTTTTTTTTTTGAGACAGAGTCTCGCTTTGTTGTCCAGGCTAGAGTGAGTGCCGTGGCGTCAGCCTAGCTCACAGCAACCTCAAACTCCTGGGCTTGAGTGATCCTTCTGCCTCAGCCTCCCAAGTAGCTGGGACTACAGGCATGCGCCACCATGCCCGGCTAATTTTTTATATATATATCAGTTGGCCAATTAATTTCTTTCTATTTATAGTAGAGACGGGGTCTCGCTCTTGCTCAGGCTGGTTTTGAACTCCTGACCTTGAGCAATCCGCCCGCCTCGGCCTCCCAAGAGCTAGGATTACAGGCGTGAGCCACAGCGCCCGGCCTATAGTGATTTTTAATGGAAAACACTTGAGAGTTTACCATACACCTCAGTCCTTTGCTAGGTGAACCAGTTTGGAAGCAATGAGCCAGACACACAGTTCTGTCCTCATGAGTTTTATTGGGAAAGGAAACTTCAGTGTCATTCCTTTCACAGCCTCTGTCTTTATAATTTGGACCAGTCACTCAGTCTTCTTTGAGTCTCACTTTTGCATCTGAAAAAAAATGTTGGCTTCTTTGGCCCCTCTCAGTCCTAAAATTCTAGGAAGCAATATATTTTGTCAGATATCTTGTGTGCCTTCAATGTCATGGGCTGTGCCAGGCACTTAAGAGTCTAGTAGTGGGAGAAATGTGCTGGTGGAACTTACTGTAATGTAGTGTGAGGATTGCTTTACTAGCACTGTCAACTCAGTGCTTTGGGGTTGTGAAGGGACAGAGAATTGCCTGGGGAGATTGAGAAAGGCTACAGAAAGTAACATTTGAACCCAGACTCTAAGGAGAGTGGACAAAAATTCCCTTTGTGAGAAGAAAGGGTATTGCCTGCCAATAGAAGAAGCCAGGAGAATTGAATGTTCAAGTGTGCTGTCATAGGATTTCTGGGGAGATGTATTGCTAAAATGAAGTTAGCACCAGTTGGCATTCAAATTATATTTTGAAGTTCCCTCCTCATCATTCTTACTACTTCAGTTGTTAATTTGCTCCATGTCATCATTTTTAAATAGCACTTTCATTTACATAATGAAATTTTATATCATTGTGAGATTAGTTTTCATTTTACAATTGGTTTACATTGTATTGTCAGATGACATCTACAGCATTTGAGTGAGGAGATTGACCAACAAATAGGTTTCCAGGATAGATGGAAATAATCGTTTGTATTTAATTGGGATGTGATAATAATTGTAACACTTATTACTTGTTACTAAGTGGTTTGAGCTTTTTCTGTGTCATTTCATTTATTCCTCATAACTGTGGTGCAAGTACTCTTGTTGTCCCTGTTTTATATAAGAGGAAACAAAAGTACATTGTTTGAATGTAGAGTCATTTTGTAAGTGATCACTTTGTAAGTGATAAACTTTGCTTTGCTGTTCACCTTATACCGTGTTTCCCTGAAAATAAGGCAGGGTCTTATATTTATTTTTTCTCAAGGAGACACCCTAGGGCTTATTTTCAGGGGATGTGTTATTTTCCTCTCAAAGCCTCAGCTTGCTGCATGCACAGGATGGCTGGGACCTAACCGGGGAGCTGACCTTGTTGGTGGGGCTGCCCGCACCTTTCCGGTCACCTCTGGGATAGTAGCTGTCATGATGGGGCAGATGAGAAGCATTGCTCGTCTTCTTTACCACTCTGCCATGAAATACATGGGTTGTGCAGATATGCTGTGTAGCCACACCCATCACTAGGTCTTATTTTCAGGGTAGGGCTTATATTGCACAAATGCTTAGAAATCCTGCTAGGGCTTATTTTATGGGTAGGTATTATTTTCGGGGAAACACAATAACTGTAGATTTGAGAGGCCTGTTTCTGGTTCTCAAGCTGAAATGAGCCTAATCACAATTGTTCATTTGATCTTGATTCTATACTGTTTCCTTTTTTTGTTTTTTTGATCCATGCAGCTGTTAAGCAGTTATTTGCAAATGGAAAGCCACTTTAATGTGTGAGGAGACATTGGTTGCCTGGCTTGCGTTTAATTATAATATGTTCATATAATAGCTGTTCCTTCCCAGGAAGAGCATGAAGAAGAGCCCTTAGAATAGCTGTTGATAATATAACTACATTGTCTTATGAGTAATATGTAAAAGTCCATTTGTTTATTATAGCTTTAGTTCAGGCGTCCTCAAACTATGCCCCACGGGCCACATGCGGGTGTTTTTGCCCGTTTGTTTTTTTACTTCAAAATAAGATATGTGCAGTGTGCATAGGAATTTGTTCATAGTTTTTTTTAAACTATAGTCCGGCCCTTCAATGGTCTGAGAGACAGTGAACTGGCCCCCTGTTTAAAAAGTTTGAGGACCCCTGCTTTAGTTCTTCATTTGTAGCCTACTTTGTAATCAGTTGTCTGCTGTAATTTTCAATGTTTTGTATTTACATTTCTATTAATTTTAAGTCCAGTTGATACAAAATAGAAGAATTTTGCGGCCCCAACCTGGGCCACACCTTGGCAGCCTCCACCTGGGCCTTTTTTTTTTTTTTTTTTTTTGAGACAGAGTCTCGCTTTGTTGTCCAGGCTAGAGTGAGTGCCGTGGCGTCAGCCTAGCTCACAGCAACCTCAAACTCCTGGGCTTGAGTGATCCTTCTGCCTCAGCCTCCCGAGTAGCTGGGACTACAGGCATGCGCCACCATGCCCGGCTAATTTTTTATATATATATCAGTTGGCCAATTAATTTCTTTCTATTTATAGTAGAGATGGGGTCTCGCTCTTGCTCAGGCTGGTTTTGAACTCCTGACCTTGAGCAATACGCCCGCCTCGGCCTCCCAAGAGCTAGGATTACAGGCGTGAGCCACAGCGCCCGGCCTACCTGGGCCTTTTAAAAAAAGAATTTTGCTAAAATTTTATTCATTTATTCATAGATCACTGAATCTTTCTAGCTTTCTAGTCATTCTATACTAATATTTTTGGAACTGTTTGTAATCTTTATATAGCCACAGTTTCATTTGTTATATAATAAAAATTATTACATATAATAGCCAAAAGGTGGAAGCAACCTATACATCAATCCATGAATGGATAGATAAACAAAATAGGCTGGGTGTGGTGGCTCACCCCTGTAATCCTAGCACTCTGGGAGGCTGAGGCGGGAGAATTGCTGGAGGTCTGGAGTTCAAGACCAGCCTGCGCAAGAGTGAGATCCTGTGTCTACTAAAAATAGAAAGAAATTAGTCGGACAACTAAAAAAAAATATATATATATATAAATTAGCTGGGCATGATGGCCCATGCCTGTAGTCCCAGCTACTCGGGAGGCTGAGGCAGAAGGATCGCTTGAGCCCAGGAGTTTGAGGTTGCTGTGAGCTGCCTGATGCCACTCTAGCCCAGGCAACATAGTGAGACTGTCTCAAAAACAAACAAACAAACAAAATGTGGTATATACATGCAATGGAATATGATTCACTTTTTAAAGGGAGGGAATTCTGACACGTCCTACAACATGGATGAACCTTGAAAACATGGCTAAGTGAAATAAACCAAACACAATAGGAAAAATATTGTATGATTTCATTTATATGAGGTACACAGAGTAGTCAAACTCAGAGGAAAAACAAAAAGAATTGCCTTGTGCAGGGGCAGGGAATT